TTTCAAAATACAGATAACATCTAAATAATTACTACTCTCTTTAGACTTCGAATGTGCCATGTAACAGTCGGTTGAGTCAGTTTGTTGAGAGCTAGGTGAGGAGGTGCAGTCACAGCTTTCAGTCATCATGGGTCACAGAACCTAGAAATTATGAAGTGAGGGAGCAAAATGATTATTTCCAGAGACAGAGAAAATACCAGCCAGCCCATTTAAACACATCATCACTGATATATGAGAGGATGAAGTAACAAAAATGAACTGATAAAAAAGGAATTTAAAAAATGAAACTAAACTGAAACTTTAGACTTCAGTTCAAATGCATGTTCATCAGCTTTCTTTTAACAAAGAATATTTGCCACCATTTGTCACCATTTGGTGATGAATGATAAAATGTGTTTATATTTTATTAAATCAACACTGTTGTACTCTAATATTAGTTTAATTTCTAATGAAATGACTCACAAATTTGGAATGAGGATGCATATTTCATTTACTTCACTTTCAGATCTATATGATTAACATTAACACAGTAATGTTTGTATCATACTTGTTATTTATACCTATGGAACATATACAGTGTTCAAAAGTAGTTTTTCATCATCATTTTTAGACTGATTATTTTAGACTGATAATTTGTTAATGTAACATGGAAATTGTTTACTATATTCAAAAGTACATTATTTTAGCTATAATATAAATTATCAATCAATACTTTAAGTCCAACTGAACAATAGCAAGATAGAAAACATTCATCTAATGCCTCCATTTAACTTCAAAAACAAATGTTTGGACATTAATCACAATGCACAAGTTCAAAACAAAGTATCATCCAACACATCTGACTAACATTCTGAAAGTTCTTAGAGTCAGAAAACTCTGAAAAATTGAATATTGAGTTGAATTAATCTGACAAAAAAATGATAGTGTCTTATTGAAATAGAGAGACAGGGTTAAGATATGGTGAAAATTCCAAAATCAAGTGTGAAAAAATGCACTTAAGTGGTGGAAAAAGGCAAGACATGTTGAAAACCTGCCACACACTGATCATTTGAAAGAGAACATCCAACAAACCTGGCTGAGCATGGGGTTTGTGAAAACTCAGACCTAGAAGACTTACTCTGCCATCCAAAAAGGAGATATGCACAAAATATAAAAGAAAGAGCCAATATTGTTTGTCCCACTAATGTTGGAGTACTTTTACTCGCCTTACTTAGATTTTCCTTACTTGCCAAGATCATTTAGTTAGTAAACCTGTTGCAATTGCTGGTTGTTATCACTTTTCAGATGGACACAAATGAATAAATGACCAACCTAACTTGAAAATAAATAAACAAGATACAAAGTGCATTCAGAGATTTTGCTAAGACTACTTTTGATCACTGTTGATTTAAAATTGACAATAAAGTATGCCTGTGTAATCAATCCTATTATATTATGGCAAAAAATGAGTTATGAGGTTTCGTTATGATTGGAAAATCATTTGAAATGTTTCTTTACCCAGGCACTTTGGTGAGGAATTCCATCAATCCACCTCAGGGACCCCTGTGGCCCCTAAGCGTGTGGGTGCGCATTTTCCGGCTAAGGGTACGTGCAAGGCGGTCCACTGCATTGCCAATGTGGCCCATCTCCTTGCTGGACGACAGACCCTCAATGTTGCCACTGTACCACATAACCCAGCCGCCAAGCGACATCAGCACCATCAGTGCTCCTGTGTATACCAGCAGGTCACCGAAGTCTCTCCCCTTCACCTCCAGTGGAACAAATACCCCCAGAAGCAAGGCTACGACCCCCAGCAGGTCAAAAATTACGGCAAAGGCCAGCGCCACTTTGCAGTGGGACAGGCCAGTGCAGGTGCTCATGCCAACTTTGTGGAATCTGGTGGAAGCAAACATAACATGTTTTGTTAAAGAGACCAGGATTTTCGATGTAGAGAAATTGAACTGTATTTAGTCTGATTAATCTGATGTTATGGATGATGACAAATATTTAAGAAGGATACTGCTGATAGCCAGCACAAAAGTAATAACATGAAATTGGTAGCCTCCTTTTATAAAATAGTGGCCGGAAAGTGCAAGACAAATTTAAATACTAGAAAAAAAATACTAGCTTTAAATGAGAGAGAAAAAGTATTTGTTAATAGGTGGCAAAAACAGACAATATATCACACGTATGGATAAATTAGGGCTGGGCAATATGATAATAAATATCGTTATTGTGATAAATTATGTCAAAATGCAATACAATATGCTTTTCTGAACATATAGTGTATATCAGTACTTGTATATCACTGACCAACTGCACATTTCATTATAAAGAGAGCACAACTAGTCCAGTTTAACTAGATTTTGTATGAAATAATAAATAAAAATAACTGTATTCAGTTGAAAATTGAAAGTATCGCACCGTTGTATTTTTGCCATATCGCCCACCTCTATGATAAACTGACATAAAGGCTTAAAGGATATTACCCCTTGAAGTACACTCCACTTATAAGAGTTTTGCACACTTTTTGATGGTGACATTCCGTTAATGTATATACCTATTTATATTTTCAAAAAAATCTCAGTAAACATGTAAGTGTGATTTAAGGACCAGCAGCATTAAACAGAAGCGGACCGATACGCTGCTATCTGGGTGTCCATACACTTTCATTCATCATTAGCAATTTTAGCTTTTTGACTGAACTACTCCTTTAAGACCGCCTCGCAGCCTAATTCTCAAAGTAATCATCACGTCTCAAGAATATTTGATTGCAGGAGCAGATTGTTATAGCCTTCTGACCTACAGGTAGATGTTAATGAGTGTTTCTGCACTTTGTCCTAGTCGGAGGTTTGGACTACACAGTTAAAGCGGAACAGTTGATAAAGGGTTGAGTTTCCAGTCCGCGGTGTCGTCTGTTCGGTTAACTGACAGGAACGAAAGAAACACTCTTTAGCGAGTGAACAGAGGCTGTAATGGTGTCGAATATGTCATCGGTAATGATCTCCTTAGTGAAACTTACCCTTTCGAGGCTTCACTAAAATGTTCAGTAGTCCAGTTTCATGGCTCTTCGTCTCGGGAGGTGTTGGGCCTCGGCTCTGCTACATTTACCTGAGAGACTTCCGGATCCACCTCTGCTGGATATCTGACTCCACCTGAGTCCCAAACTGCTGAAGAGAGGCAGAAAACAAAAGACACAAGCATTTAAATAAGTGTACGCTGCTAGGCTCCCACTAGTGGGCATTATTATCTTGAGTTTAGAGAGTAAAAGTATGAGGTGAAACGACTTTTTGATTAGCCTTTTTAAACGGATTCCACACAATTAAATGGTTGAGATGCAAACAATGTCGGTCAGCGTGGCTTCCATTTTAGAGAAACTTGCAGAGTCAGAATTGCTCACAGTGGTGTTGATAGGAACCAGACTCTGAAAGCCCCCTCACATATGCTGCCTGATGTCTGACTCATTGTTTTATGATAGTTTTGTGATAACGTTTTGGCTTAGAATGTATTTTAATCCATTTACTTTAGTCCATCAGTGGTGGAGGGAAACATGCAAAGCATTAAGGCAACATAGTCCCCAAAGAAAACTTAGTGTTTCAGATTTGGGACTATTTTACCATCATCAGCATTACATATAATTACATATAATTACTAAGAAGCCAAGTATAGGTTCATTGGTGGTTCTGGATAGTAAATAAAATGGCTATATTTGTGTTGTAGACATGGCAACTTCTGGTTTCCATCACCACCACTGTAAAGAAATCTCAGTCACTAAGTTTCTCTGCAAGTGAACCATTTCACATCAAACTTCTCTGAATGACTTTGTTTGCATCTCAACCACTGATTTATGCAGACATTGTAAAAAATCGGTGGAAATCCCCTTTAACCCTGAGTGCTTTATATTAAATGTCATTATTATGGCTAAATGTATCTACATAAGATGAAATCTTCTAGGAAGATGCCTTCATATGTCATTGTACAGACATATTATGTTTTTGATACGCTTGCACCTTCAACAAAACAAGACATTTTGTAAAGCTTTTCAATTTTGTTTATATCAGATGGTGTTTATTCTCCCCTTTGCTGTGCTTTTGTTCTTTTTTATTGTTGATGTTTCACAGAGGCACTCCTGCAATTTAATGTAGCTGTTAGGCTCTAATGTATCTTATGAATGCTACTGTACAATGGAGACCTAGAATAATTACAAAATAATAATAATTTTAAACAAATACCCATGTGACTTATACAAAATAGCCAGACATGGAAATCAAGTGCAATTAATTTGGGGGCTGAAAACAGGAAGGTTCATTCCTTATACATTTAATGAAGATCCCTGCAGATGCATTAAGCTGCAGTTCATTATTTACTGTGCATTCTCTACATTTTTATGTTGCTAAACGATGATCAGTATTAAGTATTAAACCTGTCCACTGTTATACCATCAAATGTGGTACAAAAACCCAAATATTGATTTTTCAGTTCTAAATTCTGTATTCATAAATGCTAATTTGTGAATGCAGTAACAAGAGGACTTTTATCTCAGTCTGCATATTGAAATCCAAACACTGCTTAATGGCAATTGAAAATTCAAAATCAAAAAGGCTATAAAAACTATCCGCAATAAAAACAATGTTTTCATTTAATGCGCATATGTAACTTATTTTCTCCTCTCTTGTCCTTATATTCTTATTCGTCTCTGTATAGATGTGGCTTTTATTTAAAGTAAAATGTAAAAAAAAAAACAAAAAAAAACAAAAAAAAAACATATAAATAAATAAACCCAAATATATGAAGACCCTTCTGCGCATGCGCGGTGAAGGATCTTGGGAGGGCGGTCCTTTTGTCTTTTGCTCTGATTTATGAAAGAGGCGTAAAAACGATTCACAGAACATGCGGATCGACCGGGGCTGGTCTTTTTCTCACGCCGCTCAGTGAGTTTGTTATAGCGATCTATAAAAACAACAACAGACTTATCGTGGACTCCACTCACCGAGCAGGCGACTCAGTCGTTCATGGTTAGTTTAGCAAACAAGTTAAATAAAGTTAATTCTGTGAGTAGCATAGTTAGTGTGAAGTAACTGTCAGACCGCTCATTTGATGCCAATGTAAAGGAAAACAACTGGGCTGAAGCCCGTGTTTGACTGGTAACGTTAACTAACTTCGTGGTTAAGCAGTGTTTTCTTTCTGTAATAACATAACGAGCAGTTTGTGTGGGTTTGTTTGTTTTTCTACCATTGGTGGGTTTGCCGACCATGTCGTTATTGGCGTGATATGGAGTTAAACTACTCTGTCAGTTGTGTTAGCCTCGTTATTATGGGTTATTTATGCTAGCGGTTGTTTGTAGTAATGTAGTTCACGTGTTGTTAACTTGCTCATTTTTAGCGAGTGGGTTCTGGGCTTTCTGAGCTTTCTAGCTAGGTTAGCTAACTTACAGAATCTGCGCCCCTTAGTTAACTAACGTTGTGTTTGTAGAGTTTTGATCATTTTGACGAAGAAACTTGTTTGCCTGTTAAGTTGTTATCTAAGGTCAGGCCAGAGTAGCTTCTTTCTGAGAGAGCCTGTGTCTAATTGCAGCTTGCAGGCGTGGTTGTGACTTGCGAGAAGATCCATGGCAAACTGAAATAATGACTGACCCGCAGAGAAGCACGAGGAACTCAACAGGTAAATGAACAGCAAGCACAGCTCTGAAGAGAGCTGTTACTGACTAGGGGCACATGTGTCTATGTTCTCTAACGCCTTTACAGGCTCGGCCTCCAAAGTTTTAACTCAATAATAGCTGATTTGCCTTCTAATTGGCGCCAGTCGGGTCAAAATATTGCAGTTTGGCCTTACATGTATGGCCAAAATGCAGGCTTCACTCATTGTATATTTTGTCAGGTCCACTTTCCATATAGGTGCATTTTATTCATTAATGGTCAGGTCCACCACTGTGCAGGTATTATTTGTGTGGTGGATCATTCTCAGCACTGCAGTGTTGCTGGAGTTTTCAAACACTGTGTCCACTCACTCTCCACTCTATTAGACACACCTTGTGGGTCCACCTTGTAGAGACAGTAGCTCATCTGTTGCTGCACTGTTGGTGTTAGTCGTCCTATAGTTCAGGGGTGGAGAAGTCTTGTCCTGTAGGGCCAGAGTCCAGCACAGGTTGGTGGTTTTCCTACTCAAACACACGCGATTCACCTCAGCAGCTTATTGCTATTGTGTAGTGGGTGTGTTAAGAGCAGGAAAATCACCAAACTGTGCTAGACACTGGCCCCCCACGGCTGCAGTTTACCACCCCTGCCCTAGTCCTTCCTCAGTGGTCGTAGGACACTGTTGGCTGGATATTCTCAATCCATCTGTGACAATGAGGTCTTTAACTCAAGTAACACTGCTGTATATAGACACATTAACAGTCACGGCAGTGTTGAGAAAGATCCACCACCCAAATAATACTTGCTCAGTGGTGCTCCTGGTACAAGGTAGGTAGGTAAGGGAGGCAATTAAATGTATTATGACCTCTTTGACATCAGGAGACAAAAAATTGAACATTTGCTGAATCTGTCCTAATGTTTGATTTTTGTTATTAGAGAAACATTTGCGATGCTTTACTGGTGGTGTTTCCATTTTCCTGACAGATTTGAAAAATGAGGATGGCTATGAAATCTCTATTCCCTTTGAAGACAATAATATGGGACAGACTGTTTTTTACAACCAGAATGATCATGTGTTTGATGGTAAAGTAGTTCTCTTTCTTTGCTGGAGAAGTGTATGAAATGACCATGCATAAAATAAGGTTACTAAATATAGAATATAGTCTGTATATTTTTTGTTCATTTAACCATTCGCCACGTCTTGGCTGTAGATTGTAGATTGTCATGTGTTAATTAAATTTGGTCTAAATTCACATCAGTGATAGCAGTTGGTCTTGAACTAAAACACTTAAGAAGTAGGTTGATTTTTAAAGGTGCCTAGAAATGACCAACTAATCATCAACTACTAATATTAAACACTCAGTGAACTCAACAATTAATGGGTCTCCACTTTTATAGGTAAGGCTGCTAAAACATTTGTATAGTTAGTTGTAGATTGTGTGTTTCACTTTCATTACTTAAAGCAAGTCACATTCCATAAAATTATTGTTCTATTAGCACTGTTGGTAGCTAGTATTTTTCATGTCGTATCACTTTTTTCCTGTACTAAATGATCTGTTATTAATTTGCATTGGTGTCATCACTTTCTCAGTCTTCCGTTCTATAATAATTTAGCTTTTTGAGTCTCAAAGAAATTTCTAAATTTTGTGTAAAATTAGAGGACCTCAAGAGTGGAGAAAATTAATAACCTAGCTATGTAGATGCACATAGCACATTTCAAATGAATTTCAGGAGACGTTACTAGTGATGAGTCTGAATTCCGAACTTCTCAAATAGTAATAGGTTTTCAGGCCTGTTTCACACATACTGCCTCAGTGTATTGTAAGCAACACTGAACATCTTGCTTTTCAAATTGATGCTCATTGTGGCAGTGCGTCCCAGACATGAAACTTACAGAACAGGCCATACAGTAAAATAGAGTGAAATCACCCATGAAAATCAATAAGAGTGAAATAAAAACTGCAAATAAAAGCTTAAATAAAATGAAAACTCTACAAAAACTATACAGATTTCTAGGTCTTCCAGGCTTGAAATAGCTGCCCAATCAGAAAACTGCCCAGTGTGAACAAATATATTAGATAAATGTACTTTTATGAATTTGATCTTTTTAAGTAAGAAAGTTAAAAAAGTGAGAAAGTAACTGATTTGACTATTTATCCATTTGGAAAAAAAGCTGTATGTATAAATTGGCAGTATGTGCGAGCTGTAGCAGTCATGTTGCTACATCACTCATATCAAGCAGAGGTAGTATATCTGAAACAGGAATTAGCAGAAGTTGCTTTGAATGCCTAAATCAAGGCACAGTTACGTTCTGCTGCAGCCCTCTGTCAAACACATTCAATACCCAGGCTCTTGATGGAGTATCAGTGTTCTGTACCCTTTACTCATGTTTTCAGCAGAGACGGCTTCAGGCCATGCTACTCCCTGCAATCCATACCTCCTGATGTCCAACCTTCGTGCGCAGCTGCAGATCGCTCTGGAGAAGAACTCCTGGTTGCAGAAGCGCATTGAGGACCTGGAAGAGGAAAGGGACTTCCTGCGCTGTCAGCTGGACCGGTTCATCTTCACTACCAAGAGTCAGGAGAGGAGTGGTGAGGGAAAGGATTGGGGAGGGATGGAAAGAGATGAGAGGCAGGGACTACATGGGACTGATTTAACAGTAGGAGGACCAGGTGGCTTACTAATGATATATGAAGAGTGGTCTTTCAAATTTGTCATTATGAAAGGGGACCAGCCACACTGTCACATCGCTTTGATTTTCCAGCCCTCTAAATAAACATTCAGAACAAAAATACATTTTGCACTACACTTACAAAATACTGAGCTTTTTTAATTAAAAAGGTTGATTACTGCATCTCTCAGAGTTCATTTGGACTGTCACAGCTGGTGGGGACCTGGCTGTGTTGGCACTGCAGGGCAGGACCACGCCTCCTCACCTAGTTTGGGTCATTTAGCTGTGAACCTTCTTAAAGATCTACAATTTCCATGAAATTAATAAAAAACATTAATCTGAGCCAGTCAGTATGCCAACTTAGGCCATTTAAGGCAATGCTTAAAAAATATCTTTATCAGATGCCACTGAAAGACAAAGTTGCTTTTGCTGTAAATTAGCTGAACTGTGAGGAAACTCAATATTTGCATGTAGAAACATTCATATGTGTTCAAATAACTTCCAGACTGAAGATTTAAAGTTCAGACATCTGAACGTCATCATTCCCTGAGCACGTGGCATAAACAAAAAACTTAAACTGAGCTAACATTGCTAATAGCTGCTGGAAAGACAGCTTGCTTGACAACTTTACAAAATGTTTGTCTCAGCTCAGAGTTGAGCTGAAATATTCTGAGGTAAATTTGTTTTTCATTCATAAGCTGAGCTCACAGACTCCAGTGTGTGTTTCCTCTTAAAATGTAGCTGACGTTTTGTCTGTTTTGTCACTTCCAACACCCGCTTCAGAATAAAAAAAAAAAACTAAATGTTAACTAAAATCACTGAATGTTAAAAATCCATTCCCATTTAAAGGAATACTCCAGTATTTTTCAACCTAACCTCACAATCTAGAATGTACCAGTTGAACCAAAGCTCATTCGTAATAACAGCCACTCAGAAGTTGCTGAATTCTGCAAATACAGTAGTTTGAAATACTACACCGATCTTAAGATGGGGCATGAAAGAATGTCTTACCAAAACTGCTGTTTTGAAGTTTTGCCCAACTTTTAAATATTGTAAAAAGCAATTTTGGTCACATTCGCTTTCTCTGATCTATGCTTGATCAATAAGGAACCTGGGAGAACTGAATCCAAATTCTGTATTGGTAAAATATTACCGCAGATTCTTCCTTCTGGAAAACTGGTAATTTTTCCTTAAATAAATTATTTTGATTTCCACCTTAATTTAGAAATTTACTCTGAAGAGTTCATGAAAGTATTCTACAAAATATATTTTACTGAAAGATGTCAGAGACTGCCGAATGGCATTTGTTGTAATTTGTATTTTGAAGCAAAAGTTTTTCTGTTCTTCTGTAAGTACATGGAAATAACACATTGAAGTTATTGCATGTAGTAGGAGACTGTAAGCAGCAGTTGGAGATTAGGCTGAAAAACGCTGAAGTTTTCTCTACAACATTAGTCTGCATGTGAAATCTAAGGGGAAAAATTGTGGAGGAATACTTCAAGATCTTTTATATTATATTTCATCTCAGACCATCAACCTGAGGTTCCACAGCAACGCACTCCCAAGAAAACCATCCCTCGCAGGGCCTCGACCCCATCTCCAACACCCATGATGACCCGCTCTGGCCAAGTCCCCACACGCAACCTCAACCAAAAGCGAAGGAGAGTAAGAAACAGCAGTGTCCAAGGTTAGTCACAGCCCCTGTCAGCATGGTTTCAGAGATTAAAATTTTGTTTTAATAGTAAAGTTATGCCATGGAGTAAGTGTTTACCAGTTTTATATTCAAGAAATTTACAATTTAATAGTAGATATGCTCCAAAATTTCCAAGCTGCTGCCTGTGTGGGCATGTTAGATCACAAACAACATAAACAACCCTTTGCCAGTTGTGACTGACATCGCCGATTGGTGTGGTTCAGCTCTACACGTTTGATTTTATTCCTACAATTAAGGTGGACCACTAGTTTTCGAGCTCTCATAAATGAAGCTAATGCTTGTAGTAGGATCCTGCAACAGGTGGTTAAAGCAAGTTTAATAAACAGTTTAATAAACCTTCATGTCAAGCACCTTAACAAATTTAGAAAAGCTTAAACAGCCTGTTTGCTGGGAGTTTTGGCTGGGACTTGGAGCAGCAGGAGAGCAAGTACAAATATCACAACAACTATAGATAATAGAAGATCATGAAAATGAGTAGACAGGGTCTTTAATACCCCCCCACCACCACCACCACCATCAAACTGATGTGTACATGTATTTACCTAGAAAAGGTTAGAAAACACACATCATTGGCCAAAATCAATCATCAAATCAAAAACCATCTGATTAGTCCTCCAGTGGCACAACCACAGTCAACAGTAATGAGCACACGTTGATAATATGGGGAAGCGGTCATATTTCTTTTATCCAAGTATGTTTGTATACATGAAAAAAAAAAAAATCAAGCACTTCTTTAACCAGGGAAATCAGAATAATGTCAAGCAGCAAAATGTACATTCAATTTCTCCATCAGTTCAAAAAGCATGAAATGTGCACTTTTACCGGACTCCAGACCTGGATTACAGACCAGAAAGTCACATTTCCAGTGAATTCTGTAGTACCTCTCCGTTACACCTGTTTTAAGTAATTCCCATTCTCCCCCAAATTACGCATTCTTCACCTCCAGAGAATAGAGAGAATACACATTTTCATGTCAAGTTTCACTTTCACAAATGATTTTTTATGTAGATAGTTGATCGGCGTCATTTTATGTGTACACACCCTTCATACATTTGGCCCCCAGAGTTGGTAACATGTAACATGACCATTGCTGACCATTAATAAATGAAACAACTAGGGGTGTAATGATTCACAAATTTTAGAGTTCTATACAATACAGTGATGTCTCAATTCAATAAGTTTTGATACAGCAGAAATAAGCAGTGGTTGAAAATATGTGCTTCATGTTAATGTGTCTCTTTATAATTTTAGAGCTTTCAACTTAAAAAAAAAAAAAACAAAAAAAACAATTAGAAACAAAAGCCTCTGCATTATAGTGTCCCATTCGAATGCGCATATTAGGGTCTAATGTGTTAGTCCTAAGTTAACATACTAACCTCAAGCTAACATGCTAATCACGGTATGACAATATGATACTATACGATATATTCCAGAAAGGACAACTGTCTGTTCAAACTATGTGGCCTTATCTGGCTTTAATTTTATTTTGGCTGCCTTTTAATGTGTACACACCTTCACTGTCACAGACACTCTGCTTATTCATCAGTTGAATACGGTCAAATCTGATAGTTAAATGAGCACATGCAAAATTCACGGACAGGTGTGTGATTCATTGGTTTAATCTGTATGATCTGATCACATCTAGTACGAGCGCGTACCTTTGAGTGTAAACGTTTAACAACCTGAAAAAATGCTGGATTTTCAGCTAACTAACCAAATCTATTATCAGTGTCATCCATAATACCACTAGTAAGAATAAAAATAGAAAATAACAATACTAATTATTTATGCACATGGCAATCAGTACAAAACTGGATGTACTGATTTTACATGCACCATTTAAAGACATATTACAATATTGCTTTTGTTTTATACCACAACCAAAAAATACAAAATGCAGCTACTGCAGAAGTATCACATGCTCTGCAATACTTCCGAGTTTTAATATGTTGCTTTAGGAAATACCATCAGTTTTCTACTGTTTCAAAATAAGGACTTCTTGTTTATTTCACATTTTATTCTTTCAAGCCTTTGTAATTTTAACACTATAAAGTTTGTTCAGTAGGGGGAGCAGTGCACTCACAGCTCAACCTTAAAACCACCTATGAGCACAGCCATTGGCTCATGAGCCACCGCATTCTTTCATTTTATTGGCTTCCTACTGAAACATCTGCATGGATTAGGCCACACTTTATGTAAATGTTATGTAAATGAGGTGCTAGTAGGTGTTGGCTGGATTTAAGGCACTGAAGCTGATTGATCATTTGTGCTCTAAATCCCCACTTGTTTCCACGTCATATGAGTTTCATACTTCATTTATGGTGGTCAAATCTGCCCCCTCTAAGTGCAACTTTAATGAATAAGGGCCATTGTGATTGATGGTGTGAGAAAATATAGAAGTCTTTGTTTCTGATGTTATCGAAAATACAGGGCTCTGGGATAAGACTGGGCTGTATGACAATTTTCACTATGGATCTTGCTATTATGTCTTTTCTGTTCTTTAGACGAGGATGAGGAGGAGGTAATAGAGGAGGAAGAGTACCTGGAGGAGGATGGCTACCTTGAAGAGGAGCAGATTGTATCGGATGATGAGTCTGACAGCAAAAGCTCCAAAAGAAGCAAGTTGAGTAGCAGGTCAAACGGTGGGCAGACAAGAGTGAAGCGAACCCGGGTGTTCCGCATTGCACGCAGCATGGAAAGACAAAGAGGTGAGGAGAGCCATCAACATTGGTGCAACACATACACCAGTATGTCATTATAAGCGTATCCTAAGTATACAATATGGGGTTCTTGATGTCTGGTTGTTGGAATGGATGAAAAGAAATGTATGAAAATTTGAAAATATTAATGGAAGAAAATTTCCCCATCATATATCAGCAACCAAAATTATTATAGTTGTCTGTTATCTCAGTATCAATAAAATTTACTGAAAATGTTTAAAAAGCACAAATACACATTGAGACCTGACAGGTTTGACTCGAAACGAACCCTGGTGCGATTGCTTTCTTAATGCAGTGATACTGCAGCTGTCCGAACCGAACGGTGCACCAAATAAGCAGGCCGAGACCCACTGAGCAGATCGGGTCAATTTGCTTCAAAAGGAACTGGTGTGGTTTGTTTGAAGTATGAGGTGTTACAGGGATTTCACCACAGTAACGCAGGAAGTCTCATGGCTTATTGCTGTATTATCACAAGACAGACAAAACAAGACACAAATAGAACCCACAAGCACAGGCAGAACAGAAAACAGTATGATTGGGTGGACATTGTCTCAGTTGTTGTAAGTCATTAAATCTGCCCAATCAGTTGTGAGCTTTTATTAGTATGATTTTTGTTGTTCAATGTTTACGACTCAGTATCCTGTAGTGCGGGGTGGACACCAATTCTCTGGTGTGAAACGCAAGTTGATGTCATGCCTTAAAAACGGCCAACCAATGAGAGTTGAGCTGAACTGAACGTCGTTTTGTCTGGAAGAAGTTGTAAGCATGATGGCTAAATCAAGCATATATATATATATATATATATATATATATATATATATATATATATATATATATATATATATATATATATATATATGTGTATATATGTATGTATATGTATGTATGTATGTATGTATTCACCTCACACTCTCGTTCCAGCATGTAAACACCCAGCTGACGCTTTATTTTCAGGAATGGCTTCATCCACATTTTTTTTCTTTCGCTGGGCTTTTTAATTGCAGAAAGCACACACCACCAGCATAGCAATAGCCTCACTGTCATCCGCCGTATTTGTTTAAATCTAAAGTCACATAAGTTTGCAAGAAACTCCCATGAGGTTTTGTGAATTGGAACCATTAGTCGGGACTCTTGTTGGTGTGTATAATCTGAAAGTTTGTGGTGTTTCATTCAGGGCAGATCATGTAGTATGGGTTTTTTGATAGCTAACAATGATCAAGGACAGAAAAATCAGTGAAACATATTATTATGTGTGGGGTCTCTCACGTTTTCAACGTCGGTTAGGATTTTTGAAATCCTGTAGTGTGGGCCAGGCATAACCAGAAGTAAAACTCAACAGTGTATCATTTTCTGCTTTGCTCGGGACCAAGGCAGACACACCCTTAAATGATATTCTCAGAATTGTCAGGATTCATTTATTAAACTCAATTAGATAATTAAAAGTAATCAAAAACAATTTCTCAGTGAATAATGTATATTTTAAAATCTCTCTCTTGAAATAAGAAATGGATCCCGATACGCATGCATTTAGGTGCATGTTTTCCACATTGTATGTCTGTATTTATTATATATTTTTTCTTTCTGAATACCTGACTCTGAATACGTCACTAATTCTCAGAATAATCTGTTGATTACTCAATTTTTAATTTAATCAATAGTGACAATCTTACATTTTACCACTATTATACAAATAGATTTATTTTCTTTTGTGTTTATGGCACCAAAAAATCTACTACAGTTTAAGTAAATACAAATGATCATTGGCACGTCTGCTGTTTAGATTACAGCTGTGTTAAAACGTGTCGTCCTAAGGTCTGCCTTGCAAAGCAGGACTTCTTTCTTAGCCAGCTAACTTAAGGCCTAGTTCTATCTAAACCTGAATTTTCTAAATTAAGATGGTGGATGACTTCTTACAAGAAAAAACTGCCATGGCAACTTGCCTAATTTCCTCCAGGACATGGACCGCGCTGGTCATTTGGGTCACTTCCCCCCCCCCCTTCTCCTTGTAACATTTGTGGTGTCAGTCGTGGTGGGGGAGGGGGTGTTGCTTTTCAGCCAATGAAACGAATCATACTACATAACATAAAAAAGCACTAAAATGGTGGCAATGGCAAAGGTGCTTCATTTTACCACTATGGATGCTCTACATTTTATGTAGTATGAGTTCTTTTCACTTTTTTAAAAAATAAGCCACTCCTCATGTTTTATGCAACTGTCTGTTCTTCATAAACATCACATTTCGTGTGCATGCACACAAGGATTAATCAGAGCTTGAGTATCTAAGAATAGAGAACATTGTAAACTGCCGTCATGAAACCACACCTTTACCGCTGTTACATTTTTTAAGTTTTTTGAAGCTGAAACTTAGTCTGGAACCCTGTCTGGGTTCAACATTCTTCTTGAGACAGGCCCCAGGTATATGGTTTCCAGAATGCTGTTTACCTCCAATGTAACTAGTTAAAGAGATGTAATCCTGCATGGTTATTGAAATAGTCACAATTTAAACAGTATGATTATCACTGGGTTTTGTAACTGTGGTTATCGTTAGCTCATGATTTACTACCACTAATATGTTTTTTTTGTTGTTGTTTTTTATTGCAGTAAAAGATCCTGCTGGAGTTCTGCATCGCTACAAGAAGATTCTGGTCACTTACCAGAAACTGAAGAGCATGTCCAGAGCCTTCCAGGTTCACGGGGTTGACCGTAACACTGTGGCTTCCACCACTCCCATCGCTGAGCTGCTGCTGGTTGCCCCTGAGAAAGTGGCAGAGGTTGGAGAGTTCGATTCCTCCAAGGAGAAGCTTCTGGACTACGCACGGCGCTGTTACAAGGCCCTCGATGAGACTGCTCACGCCAAGGTCCAGGCTTGGAAGAAAAGCAGCCTCCTATTGCCCATCTCCTACAGATTCAGGAACTGATTCACCAAAAACCTCTTAAACTCACTGAAGCGAGTGATAAGAGGAGAAGCCATCCATGTTGTCAAAACAAGCAGCTATGCTGGGTTTATATTTTTTTTCTACCTCACCTGTTCATTATTTGGACGAAAATACATTAAAGTCCAAGGTTTGTGGCATTTCTTCTGATTGATCATCACATGCTTGTGATGGTGATTTATGTGATTACTGGAATGTTTGTTTGTGATTACTAATGGTTTGGTTGTAGGAGCGATGGAAGGTGGTTTGTCATTTGTAATAGTTTGAGTGCACCAGTGTCCATGTAAGACAGCATGAGGGTGTAAAGCTGAAGAATAAAACTGAGCACTGATAGAATTTTAGGGTGTGGGGAGCAGAAGCAGGAAAATGATAGAGAACATAAAAAAATGAGTTTAAAGACTTGTGAAGAAAGCAGTCTGTCATTGTATTTAAGGGCTATCTATATTTTTGTACATCTTTATTATTATTATTTGGAAAAAATGTTACTGCTGCCTTCCTCACTCCCCAATGGAGTGCATGTTCTTTTTTTCCCTAGCACTTGTTAATCTTTCTGATTTACATTTATGAAGTTAAATTATTAAATTACGTTCCTGTCTTAAGTCTGAAGCCAAGATGAGATGGGGTCAAAAAGATTTGTTTTGAATTATTACCTGCTGTCAGGAGATCCACTGGAAAATATGGCCAGAAAGCACTTAGAAATAACACTAAAAAAAGCAGTAGTTCACGGTAGAAGCTAGTAGAGGTAATCAACGCTGTCCAGCTTTTTCAGTTAATAGTAGTTTGAGAGTGTGTGTTGTTGACTGTATGTAGTTTAATACCTCTAGAAAACATACTGGCTTACTTCTCATAGTATTTTCCACTCTTGGTAGCTTGACTTTAATACTAAAGTTCAGTCCTGTGCAGCCCATCCATGTAAACACCAGTTATGTGGTTATGCTCAGGAATAGTATTTGCTAACTGAATGTTATTACACATCAGTAAAAACTGTAACTCTGTGCTGCCTTATTATATTACTGAAGTCTTAATACACTGTGTTGATAAGTCAATGTTTATCTGAGCACCTTTTTTGTAAATTGGATTGAAATGTCCTGAGAGATTATCTTTTGGTTTTGTTCTTTCTACTTTTTTCCAGGTACTAATAGTTCTTAATGGAGAACTCCACTGATTTTTCAGAATTTCTGCTTAATTAAACGGTTGAGATGCAAAGGTTGGTGTAAAATGCTGAGTTGTAGAGAAACTCGGAGTCAGAATTATTCACAGTGGGGGTGATGGGAGCCAGACGTCCACCTCTAAAAGCTCCCTCACAGAAAGGTATTAGATGAAGTGGTTATGAATACTCAGCCTGATGTCTGAGACTTTTTGTTTTATGGTTGTTTGGTGGTAATGTTTTTGCCTAAAATGTAATTCAATCAATATATTGTAAACTATTCATGGTGGAGGGATACGTGAAGGGTTTTCTAAGGTAAAATAGTCCCGGTTATTTTTTTTTTTTTCTGATTTACTAGTATTTTACCATCAGCAATGTTACATTTAAAAAAAACAGAAGACACATGTAGGTTCACTGGTGTTTTGGATAGTAAATAAAATGGCTATATTTGTGTTGTAGACATGGCAACCTCTGGTTCCTGTCACCACAACTGTAAAGAAATCAGAGTCTGTAAGTTTCTCTACAATGAACCACTTCACATCAAACCTCTCTAAAAAAAAAAACCTTGTTTACATCTAAACCACTGATTTATGCAAACATTTTGAAAAATGGGTGGAATTCTCCTTTAAAGCTCAGGAGATCATCAAACAGTAATCCAGATTTCTCTATTCAGTGCACTAACCTAGTAGGTGTTACCCATTATCTTGACCCTGTTCTTCATAGATGCTAATTTAGTTAGCTGGATCACTTTAATATAAAACTGAGCTGCTTCATGAGTGCTAAAGCTGTAAATGAGACTTTACAGGAAAGATGTTCATGAAACCAACTCTGAGCTAGCTGTGAGCAACACTACCCAGTATGTGGTGTTTCTCAATTAGCCAAAATACACTCTCTGCACATTAGTTGGTCTTCTTTTAGTTAAAGTAATCAGCTGAGCGAGTTCTGCCTTGGTAAATGTTCTTTTGGTGGGAAATCCAGAGAGTTGGAGACTCTGCGCCAGTTGAAGTTAAAGCCAAAGTCAGCTTGTTAAGCCAAAAATCTGAATTCATAACATGTTCCTTGTGGCTCTTGTTTTATGAGAGTTTATTAGAATTCAGCAGCATTTTTAAGTTAGCTGGACAGCATAAGCAAGTTGTCCAGCGTGTTCAATAAGGATGTTCTTTAGCACAGAACTTATTTGACACAGTGTCTTTTAGTTTACCAAGCTCACTGTGGAACAGTGGTTCATATGAAAACATTGATACCTTTTTTATTTGTGAGTTTCAAAAGTGCAAAGCTGTTTGAGTTGGGCTGCAGCGAGGCATATGAAACTTTTTTTTAAACGTATCTGTGATCCTCTTTTTTTCCTTTCTACAAGCCTGTTACTTTATTCACTATTAAATATAACTCTTGGACAGAGTGTTTTTGACTTAGTTATGTTTATTTTTAATACTTCTAATGTGTGCATGCACATATACACTGCTTTGTAAGAAACTTTAATAAAAGACAAAAATTAAAAACTACCTTGTAGCTTTAACCTTTTTTACATTTTTTAATTTACTTTATTTACTTTAGAGATGCAACATGCAGGGCACTGTAGACACACTGGACTTGCAGTAAAAGAGACTTTATTCTTTTAAGTATTTGTGGCTGTTAGCTTGGGGACATGTAGACATGTTACTTTTGCTATTCTATGCTTTGCTGTGTGGTAGTAATGCAGTGTTTGTTCCTACCCTCAAGTTGAATTGTGTGGCTAGAAGTGACCTGCCTGCTTCCAGGCTGTGTCAGCTAGTGCTGAGTGGAGGTTCTCTGCTGCTGTGTTCAATAAAAGAGCATTCGCTTAACGCACTGTGTTTCACACGTCTTCTTCTTTGCTAAAGCCACAATATATTATGTATCGGAAAAGCGTGAATACTTGAATAAGTATATACATTTTGGCTTTCATTGTTCATTTATTTTATTTTGGCACATCCACCATAACAATACCCATACTTGCACTTACAGTCAGAAGTTTGAACACTACTGGTCAAATGATGGTGAAAATAAGTTAACACATCCCCTTGTGAGGTCAAACTTGAATATTCTGCAAATTTTAATGCACATATTATATTTATTTGCCAAGTTTAATATCTTGGACAACAATAAATTTAAAATGTACTGTTACCTTTGCACAGGTAGCAAAAAACGTCATTGTATATTAAAATGTGGAGATGTGTGTTCTCTGTAAAGGATGTGTTAACTTATTTTCAACTAGAAAACCAACAAAACATGTAATTTGACTAACTTTTGTGTTTTCCTGTATTTCTTCACCCTTGATTGTTACTCAAGGTTAATGTTGCCAGAGGGCTTTGTTACTATGGACCCTAACTAACCAATATGTACTAAGTAACAAGGACAAAGAAGACACATACAAAATCATTAATAAATGTTACCCCTGCAACAGTACTGTCTCAAAATATATGATGAAACCTTTGTGGTAAAAAACAATCAGTGTATTGAACACGTTCTCCAACTGTATCCATTCTAAGAAACATATTGACAAAATTGAGATTTTATAAATAATATAAAATACATTGTATTTACGCAAGATGAAATGTGTTTATATATATATATATATACAACCCCAAAAGTTGGGACACTGTGTAAAATGTAAATAAATATAAATAAAAACAGAATGCAATGATTTACAAATCTCATAGACCCATATTTTATTCACAATGGAGCATAGAACATACATCAGATGCTGAAAGTCAGACCTTTAACCATTTCATGAAAAACACAAAACATTAACTCATTTAGAACTTGATAGCAGAAATGCATCTCAAAAAAGTTGGGACAGGGCCATGTCTACCATTGTGTAGCGTCCCCTCTTCTTTTAACAACAGTCTGTAAATGTCTGGGAAGTAAGGAGAACAACTGCTGCAGTTTTGGGAGAGGAACGTTGTCCCATTCTTATCTGTTGTAGGATTCTAGCTGCTTAACAGTCCTGGGTCTCATTTGCCGGATCTTTCGTTTCATGATGCGCCAAATGTTTTCTATTGGTGAAAGGTCTGGACCGCAGACAGGCCAGTTCAGCACCTGGACTCTTCTTCTGCGAAGCTATGCTGTTGTAATGGATGCAATGCATGGTTTAACATTGTCTTGCTGAAATATGCAAGGCCTTCCCTGAAAAAGACGTTGTCTGGATGGGAGCATATGTTGTTCTAAAACCTCTATATACTGTTTAGCATTGATAGTGCCTTTCCAGACGTGTAAGCTGCCCACACCATAGGCATAATGCAACCCCATACAATCAGACATGCAGGCTTTTGAACTGTGTGCTAATGACAAGCTGGATGGTCCCTCTCTTCTTGAATCCGCAGGACACGGCATCTGTGGTTTCCAAAAAGAATGTCAAATTTTGATTCATCTGACCACAGAACAGTTTTCTATTTTGCCTTAGATCATTTCAAATGAGTTTTGGCCCAGAGAAGATGGCGGCGTTTCTGGATTGTGTTTATATGTGGCCTCTTATTTGCATGATACAGCTTTAACTTGCATTTTGGATTGCACAGTGAACTGTGTCCACAAACAATGATTTCTGAAAGTGTTCCTGAGCCCATGAAGTGATTTCCAGTACAGAATCATACCTGTTTTCAATGCAGTGCCGCCTGAGAGCCCAAAGATCACAAGCATCCAATATTGACCGTCGGCCTTGCATACAGGGATTTCTCCAGATTCTCTGAATCTTTTGATGATATTATGTACTGTAGATGGTGGGATATCCAAAGTCTTTGCAATTTTACATTGAGGAACATTTTTCTGAAATTGTTCCACAGTTTCTATATGCAGTTTTTCGCAGATTGGTGAACCTCTGCCCATCTTTGTTTCTGAGAGACTCTGCCTCTCTAAAATGCTCTTTTTATACCCAGCCATGTGAGTTAGTTGCAAGTTGCTCCTCCAGCTGTTTTTTATTAGTACCACTTACTATTCCAGCTTTTTGTTGCCCCTGTCCCAACTTTTTTGAGATGCGTTGCTGCCATCAAGTTCTAAATTAGTTAACGTTTTTCATGAAATGGTAAAATGTCTCACTTTCAACATCTGATATGTGTTCTAAGTTTTATTGTGAATAAAATATGGGTCTGTGAGATTTGCAAATCTGCATTCTGCATTTTACACAGCATCCCAACATCTTTGAAATAGAGGTTGTCTATATATATATATATATTATACAGAAACGTCTACTTTTTATCTCTCCATAGGTGTCACTGGTGTTACTGATCCTCATTGGTGTTACACATAAGAAAGGTAACACCAGAGACATTTTTAATGAAAAATGCATTTTACAAAATGGCTGCTACAGAGCATCAAACCACATGTTGTCAATCATGGAATATCCATTAAATATGTAATTGAATCCATTTGTATGCTATTTTTTCACAATAACCTCAGAATAAAGTAGGTCACACTAGCGACTTCAACTAAAAGCTTCCTATGAAATCATGAGCTAAATGAGAAAATTTCTGATAACTGAAAGACACAGTGGACTTACCATGTGCTTTTCTTCATGGATCCTCAGAAAACAGGTGAAAGGAAGTCAAGTGTTGTCATCAGTTTGATTATTATTTGAAAATAAGAGATTTTTGTTACGTAGTAACACCAGGGACACGACTCCTGGGGACCACAACATTATATATTTTACAATATTTATTTGGCATTTGTTTTCTTTATGTCATTTAAATCTTATATTTCATAGTCATGTATAGATTTTTGCAGTTAAAATTACAGAAAAACGTGTTTTTTACGTCAAAAAATGGCACTCAGCCTTTACACATGGCTGTGAGGACGAGCAGTTCTGTGATGCTTGGAATTCTATATGATCGATTTAAAACCAGTATTGCTAAATTGAGGCTCAAGAAGGTGTAATTGTTAAAATAATGTATTGTTTTATTTTTAAATATAAACGAATTGTAACCCTTACATGTATTTCAAGTGTGATATTTTTTAAACGCTTTTAAACGCTTTCTGTCATATATAATAAACAAGAACAATGCCTAGTTGTTTCGCCATGGCCGCTTAGGGGCTCCGCCTCAAACCAATATGGATCCAAAGAAAAACGAGAAAAAAGGCTGATGTTGGAGCTCCGCTAGATGGCGGACATCAGTGAAGCCTCAGAGAGGAGAAATCACTTCCTACAGCGCAGAGAGGAGAACCCGCTACAAACTTACCAGCCGAGACAAACGACGCGGAGCCTGTGGCCTAGTCTGCGTGCTGTCTAAAAACGAGAAAACACTCAGATAAGACACTGTCTGTCTCATATACTTAAACATACATAGACGCGGTTTGATTAAGGCGTTTATAACATATTTATCACCATCTCTCTGTGTGAAAGAGCTTCCTCGCGGGGTTCAGGCTAGCTAACGTTAGCTAACTTAGCTAAGCGCAACGGCGCACAACAGCAACCAGAGAGCACATTTATCAACTTTTTGCAGAAGTTTGTGCGGATATTTTGTGTGTATCTTGATTAACTCAAATATATTTGACTAAATTGACCGAATGTGTTAAAACCTGTCGTGTATGTCAGGCGCAGACATCACATTTTGAAGTAAGATAGGTTATCTAGCTCAGCTAGCGTTAGCTAAGCTGCTAGAGGGTTGTGCTCACTCGGCCGTGCCAGTTCATCCAACCACGGATCCAGCATGTCGGACTTCGATGAATTTGAGAGACAGCTGACTGAAAACAAGCAAGGTGTGTACTGTTTAACACGTTAAATGCAACAGCATCGGTTGTGTTTGAATAAATCACCAAATAATATGCGCTGATGTGTAGACGTGGATGATCCTTTGCTAAAAAGTAGGCCTATTAACTGTCTAATGCTCTGGCGTGTGTGGAGTTTCGTTTAAAGCGTTGCATCCTGATTTTTTTGTCTGCATTTTGTGTTTATTTCAAGTGCAGTTGCCTTTATGCGTAGATTTTACTAGCACCTGAAATGAGCAAAGCTGTTTTGGATGAGATACCTGTGAACATCAGATGTGTCTTAACGCTCTAGCAGCCGATCACGTTATCATGTCTCTCTAAGCCTTTAGTGGACGAGCGTTCGTGCTCCCTGATTTTACAGTAAATCTGCTAATGGCCTCTATGTTTACAAGAGTTCGACCAAATACACATTATAAAAGACGATTTCAGTTTAAAGCTGTCCTTTAAAGAAAGGAATTCCACCGATTTCTGGAAACTTCTGCATATTTCTAAGATTTTACAGTGGTGCTGATAGGAACCAGGGGTCACAATGTTTACAATGTAACTATAGCCATTTTATTTACTATACAAACAACCTGTCAGCTTATATGCGTATTGTGAGTTTTATATGTAATGTTAATGGTAAAATGTAGGTAAATTCGAAAAATGAGCTTTTCTCTGGGAGCTATGGTTTCGTACAAGTCCCTGCATGTACTTCCACTATGAATAGCTTTGTAAATAAATATTTTAGGCCAAAACCTTATCTTAAAAACTATCATAGCACAATGTCTTAAACATCAGACAGTGTATTCTTATCCATTTCAAGGAATAGTATTCTGTAAAGGAGCTTTCAAAGGCATTTAAACACTTAAGACGTCTGGTTCCTATCACTACCACTGTGCAACCTTTTGATTTGGTAAGTTTCTTTAAAAGGTAGCATTTCAAATCAAACCACACTGAATGACTTTCACATCTTAACCATTTAGTTATGCAGATTGCAGTTAAGCAGATATTTATATATGTATGTATGTATGTATGTGTGTGTGTATATATATATATCTCATTTTAATTCATTATTTTTGTGATGTCATCAAAACCAGTGCTTTTACATATATCCACCCATTCAGCCTGCTGCACTGTAACTCTGCCCATTCACACTGAAGCTATACGAAGTGTTACAGCTCTGAGTCCTTTTTGAACGAGGCACAATTCAAATCAGCCAATGAGAACAGAGCTCATTTAAATATATCAGTCTTAAGGTGCAGTAACAAAAACAACATGTATATATTTTGCAGCCCTAATGGTTTGCTTCCAGTTAAAGAGCATCATCAGGCTTTTATTTAAGTTGCAGGGAACACAGCGGTTAGGAAAAAGACAGAATAAGTGCCAGTTGTATCTTGGAGTGGACAGTAAGACAGGACTTATGGCCATATAAATAAATATCACAGTATGGTATTGCAATATTTTGACATTTTGATAATATTTTAGTATCACTTAAAAAAAAAATTGTCAAAAGCTCTGGGTACAGTGATTTTTCCTTCAGCATTTCACATTCTGCACTACCCTAAAACCAATTAAGCAGAACTAATTATGTTGTATGTGTCACTATTATAAAATTTATCACAATAATGATAAAATAGATTTTCCTACTTCTAGTTTTTTCGAGTAGTCTTTAGTGATTTTTTTTTTTCTGTGTGGATGAGTGTTATTTCTGGAGAATCATACAGAGCCCCTACAGGGCCACGGTTTATTTAAAAGGTAGTCATTGCATTCCTCTGCAATTGTTTTGCTTTTTCTCGCAATGATTTTGTGTTTCCTCATGATAATTTTGCATTCTCTTTGTAAGGGGATGCAAGGGAAGGCATTGTGGTTTTTTTTTTCTTCCCTCCCCCTAATGGGGTAACTCAGGAGAATCATCCTTGAGAGAACACATTATTTCAGGATTGGACTTATTTTGCATGCATTGCATTTATATATGTTGCAATCTCCAGGATTGTACTGTGTGGACTGTTTTTGAGCACATCTTTCATGTCACTGTATCAGATCCCACGCTGTTCACCTGTGATTTGAAATGTTAGCATGTTGGTGTGTGTAGCACAGCAAGATACAATTAAGGCCCCGCCTGATTTTAACCACTCATTGTGTCATTCTCTTTCAATACAGGTGACAGTCTTAACGGCCATGGTGGGTATCAGTGTGGAACGCTCCTTTATGCTTTGCTCAGAAATACACACAACCTTCCTGATCTATTTTTCCTCTTTTTCTTTCTTTGTCTTAAAGTGATGGTTTGGCTAGAAAATAATTGTGCACATTTTACACTTTACACCAATTGTAATTCAGCCAAGTCAGGTTTATTGTCCAAAGTTTGCTTCTTTTTTAATTTTGCACTGGACCTGCAAGGCTCTTAGCTCTGCAGATACTGCCTAAATGCCTAAATCATCACACACTTCCCTCTAGCCTTCTACATTATGACACTTGATCATGCACTGTTATCTTTAACAATGGAAAAAATACTTTCATTGATTATTAGCTCCATTAGCCATGTAGCTCCAGGAAGAAAGCGTTGCTAAGTAACTAAATTTGGGGTGAGGGAAAATAATCTGCCTGTTATTTTTTCGTTTTTAGCTGAACCAACACTTTAAAAGTTATTTTAAAAAGCTCAAATTATAACCAGATCTGATTAGTTTTTAGATTTACAGAATTTAATCTTATTTAATTTTAGGGCCCAGGTTGGTCTTCCTGTTCTTCTGCTGACTCTGCTACCGCTGTTGCCTGTCTTCACAGTGTTTTACTTCCTTCCTCCTCCTGTCTTTCAGCTCATTTGGCTATGTCCATGTATTTTTCTCCTCTCTGTGAGGTCTGTGATGTCCTGGTCCCGCTGTCTCAATCCCATTTATTCTCGCCTCTCTTTAGAGCGCGACAAAGAGAACAGGCACAGGCGGCGCAGCAGCTCACGCAGCCGCAGCCGGGAGAGGAAGAGGAGGAGCAGGGAGAGGAGGAGCAGGGAGCGACGCAGCAGCAGCAAGGACCGCAGGCATAGACGCGGGTGAGAGAGAGTTATCTATAGAAGGCTCCTGCTGCAGTGAATGTGTTAACATATACAACAATTATGTTATATAATAATACCTTTGTCTATATATATTATATAATAATATCACTATCTGGTTTTCACCAGTGGTCATCTAAGCAGCATACTCCAATGATCAAGTTGGCGCTGTTGTTGGCTTTTAATAAATCTGATAGAGACCTGGGTTTTAGCTTGGTAATCAGGTTTTTCAGCACAGATATACTGATTTTTGCCAAGGAACTGGAAAGCGCTAATTTCAATGCTACAACCCTGAAACAAAAGACTACATAATTCTAATATACACTCCCAGGTATTTACAGTTTGGGACTCCATGTTAAAAAGAAAGCTGCAGCAAGTGATTTGAATCTGATTTGTGCTGAGGTTTTTTGCGTTTCTTAATGAGTTTCTAAGCAACAGTAGAGAGGCACATTGTTTAGAATGTAATGTGATTGAGTCACTCATTTAGATCCAGAGTTTTCTCATTATCAGATTACTGAAGTGTCTGTAAATGTGAAGCACATTATTCAATGAGTTATTTTGTGCAAGTAGGCCTAACTGTACTCAGCCAGTGCATTAAATGAATACTATAGCACTTTTCAACATAGACTTTACTTGCCTCATCTGTATTGTCTGGTCAGTTACCTCAGACAGTAATTTCAGTGCTTTTCATTTTACTTGGTAAAAGAATGAAAAACTCATTCATTTAAAATACACTTATAGTAGAAGCCTATGGGCAGTTGCTTTGACTTCCTTTACTAAGTGCAGGGAAATGTAGCAAAATTTTTGTCCATGGTAGTTGACTATGTGTGTTGCAGTAGCAGCAGATGAAAAATGCTGCAGTACAACTTTGTTGTGTAGACAGACAGCTGATATTTCAGCTCATGTTTAGTGAAATGCCGATGTCTAAGTGGAACTAGGTACAGTCATATGCATAACTTTGAGTACCCCTGATCAAATGGCATTTTCTTGAAGTGAACACACTTAAATGTGGCATTTTTCTTTAAATTTTAGTGCACAATTTCTTTCTTTACTGACTCGGATGTCAGCGTCCCTCTGCTCCACTGTCAGCAAACTTGAGTGAACGTGTGAGAGGCCTAGGTGATATCTAAAAAGAAAAATAAGTAGCAAAATATTTTCTGGTTAAAATTTTAGTTATTGATTATCACAACCACAACCCAAACCCATACACATGGTCCGCTGCAGCTTAGACTTTTTGTTCTCTTTGTTTGTTTTAAACATTAACTGTTAAATAGTAATAATCTTTTAACATGCACTCATGTGCTCCTTCTGGTGTAGGTTTGTGGTGACTTGTGCTAATAGCGTCCTTTGTTGGAGAAACTTCAGACTGCACTACATATTCTATATGAGTGATTTCCAGAGCCATGCCCATGTGCTTTACACGTAAAGCATATAGTGTTATATTTTAATAGTTTTCTTCATCCGAGCCACTGGAAAACAGCAATTTTTTCTGAGACGACGTCACACTCTGGGAAACCTGTAGTAGCAACAGTAGAGAATTTATTTGATGCACAACTCCAGTCCTGGAGGGCCAGTGTCCAGCAGATTTTGGTGGTTTACCTGCTCAAAACACCTGATTACGTTCATCTGTTAATTGCCATGTTTAGTGGGTGTGTTTGAGAAGGGGAACTACCAAACTGTGCTGGACACCAGCCCTCCAGGACTGTAGTTGAGCACCGCTGTTTTAACGTAATAACTCAGTGTTTTAACAGTAAAATTGAATAAATGTTGTGTACATATTATTTAATATTACTTAGCAAGCTGTAAAAAGTTACATTAGTCCTCTGTCAGTCCTCTTTCCCAACATGACAGTTATCAGCTTTTGGCGATATTTGATTGCATCACCCAGGCCTAATGGCTTATTTCATAGTTTTATTTATGCACATACAAGTATAATAACTGTGAAGATTTAGAGCTAAGTTTAGCTTCCTTTTCTCTGTCATTGTGTCTCACACCTTTTTGCCTTCTAACTCTCTTTCCTCAGTGATTCCTCGCACAGGGAGAAGAAGAAGAAAGTAAAAAAGTACTGGGATGTCCCTCCTCCAGGTTTTGAGCACATTACACCCATGCAGTACAAGGCCATGCAGGGTAAGTGAAACACTAAACAAACAAACCTCTCTGTCTGAAACAGCTGCTCTCAAAGATCTGTTAACCCTGCAGTGCTCCTTTACCTTTCTTCTTCTGGTCATTTTCTATAATACAACTCCTCTCAAACTTTTTCTGTTGCCAAGTACAGGGAAATGCATCTAAAATTGTCATCTACGTTGATCAACAGCGTGCTGATGATGCAGCAGATGGAATGCTGGAGTATTCCTTTCATCCTTTTTTTTTTCCCCCCAATGTGCTATTATATAGTTTAGAAATGCCTTTATTTGTTTACTCTCTCCTTTTTTGCCTCTTTCTTGCATTGTGCCATAGTTCTGAGCTAAAAATGAAACGATGTCTTCATTTAAAGTTTTAAGTTTGTTTTCATTTTCTCACTTAAACTGTTCTCACTCTGTGTCTGTCTCAGCTGCTGGTCAAATTCCTGCCACAGCACTCTTGCCCACTATGACACCTGAGGGGCTGACCGTCACACCTACCCCAGTGCCCGTAGTGGGCAGTCAGATGACCCGCCAAGCAAGAAGGCTCTACGTGGGCAACATCCCATTTGGCATCACAGAGGTGAGAAGTCCTCAGCTCTATATCAGTGTCTGTGTAATGCTTCTTATGCAAAAGTTAATAGGTAGATCTGGAGGTGGGGCTGAATGAGTTTGGCAAGATATCTAATTGCATTTATGATTTAAATTGCAGTTGTTTTCTATAAATTGAGGTATATGCTTTTTTATTTATTTATTTTTTTGGCTAAGAAGGCTCGGCGTGCACTTTTTCTGGCTTGAGTGCTTAACACAGTGTGCCAGCCTGCCAGTTATTTGTGGTTGTGATGTCACAACACGTGGATGTTTGGTTGCCTTTGTCGAATTCATCTAAAAGCAGTTCACAAGCTCCATGTTATTAGATTAAATTTCCCTACTTGCAAGATTCTAATAAAAATTGCAGCTCTTGTGATTTGAAAATTGCACTCTTTCAAATTGTGATTTTGATATAACTATAACCATAACTATAATCTTTCAGCTCTGTCAGGTGGTGCAGTTGTTGGGCATATATTTGTGAACCCTTTAAAATGATCTGGATTTCTGCACGAATTCCTCAAATTTATCTGATCTTCATCACTTGTCGCAACAAATAAAGAGAGTCTTAACAATAATAAAGTTGTTTATCAAGTATTTATTAAATTAATATTTGATCATTATTGATTATTAAATATTTGATTGTTCATTATCAAATATTTTATCAAGCAGTTAAATTTTATGCTTTATGCTCATTTTGAACTTAATGGGCCTTGCTACAACACACCGTCTGTTAAAGTTGGGAGAATGGTTTTGTGACCATGCCCTTTTTACGGCAAACTCGAGCGCAATCTGGGCGATCATGAAGTTCCAATCCACTTTTTGGAACTTCATGATTGCTCCTGTGATGCTGCAGTGCTCGACGTTGTTCATGGTGACCTTAGGCTCATGTGTGGCCCATTCTGTTATCAGTGCTTGTCTAAACAGATTATACAAGCTGTGTGTGAACCTGAACACCTATGTCAGCAATGGGTGCACATAAAACTAGTTGAATTCTCTCATTACATGGAATGCCTGGATATATTTAGAAATTAAATGTGTTTCAAGCTCTAAAAGCCACCAAAGTTGTGAATAATGAAAACAAAATCTTATCCCTTTTATTTCTAACACACTTCCCCAGAGCTGATTCCTGCATCCGTGGCTGAATTTTCTGTCTGTACTTGACTGTGTTGACTGTGTTGACTGTGTTGACCATGTTGCTAGGTTCAACAATAGGTGTGCTTGTGGAGTGGTGCCACAACAACTACCACTGAACTTGAATTCACTGAACTTAATAAACATACATACATAAATAAATAAATGTGGACTTCTGGGTACATGGAGTAAAACACACCCATCTCTAATCAAAGCGCTCTGGTCAAAACTGTCAGCAGCGATAGGTTCAGTGGCTTTCACAGAGAATCTGAGAGGTTCACTAACTGTACTTCCTGAGATGGTTAAGGAACAAAAGACTGCATGCCACACCAAAGCCTCATCCCAACTGTGAAGCTTGTCAGAGCCTAGACAGTTTGAGGGACCAAATTGTATCAGGAAATGTTGGGACTGTTTGTGTTTTCAAAAGGTTATGGGTCAAGCGTGTAAGTGATCCAAGAAACTGGAGTAAGGCAACTGTAAACTGTTGTTAAATGGCCAAATTACAGTACTGGCCTCAATTCCACTGAAAAACGTGGTGTTAATTGAATTCCTAAATTGTATGTCATCGTCGTCCTACAATACATCTGATTTTTATTGTATTTTTTTTTTTTTTTGATGTATAACATTTAAATAGAATGTAACTCACTAAGCTCATTCTCTGCTGTCTCTCTTCCTTCAATGTGCTCGTCGTCTTTTAGGAATCCATGATGGACTTTTTCAATGCTCAGATGAGACTTGGAGGTCTTACTCAGGCTCCAGGAAACCCTGTCCTTGCTGTCCAGATTAACCAGGACAAGAACTTTGCCTTCCTAGAGGTGAGTTGTTTTTATGCTTCTGAATATAGACTTTTTTTGGTCCTTTGTTTGTCTCAGAAATTGTGTGGAGGTGCAGAAATAGTTTTGCCTTTAGAAAGTTCTGTTTAAATTTCTGTTCATTCACAATTTTCTGTTTTAAATTCCTATTTGATGTATGTTTTTGTCTGGACTTGTATGGACTGAATGTAATGCACCTGCTTCATCAGTGTGTCATGAATCTTTAATATAGCCTCTATTTGCTGACAGCCAAGTCAAGCCTTTGATATTTTATAGATGAAAGTTGGTAAGATTGTTACAGTAGGTGACTTTAAAGAGGAACAGTTGGTTTATCTCTCCACCATCATCTCCCTCCCTCCTTCAGTTCCGCTCAGTGGATGAGACCACACAGGCCATGGCGTTTGATGGTATCATATTCCAAGGTCAGAGTCTGAAGATCCGCCGGCCACATGATTACCAGCCCCTACCAGGTGTGAGCGAGAACCCCAGTGTGTATGTGCCAGGTAGGTGTACTGCAAAAATACATAACCTTGCCTTATCCTTGCCCTTCTGTATGATTGATTTGAACAAACTTGTTTTGACAAGATATTTGGGCCACAATGATATGATCTGTCTTAATACAAACCCTATTCCAAAAAAATGGCAGTATGTAAAATGCTAATAAAGACAGAAAGCAGTGCTTGGTAAATTCTTTTTGACTTGTGTTAAACTGAAAATGGTACAAAAAACAAATTATTTAATGTTATGAATTTCATTGTTCATTCTTTTCTTGTGTAGTTTCCTTTATACCCAAGCATGATTGTATTTGTGAACATTATATGATCTTAAATTGCCTCTGTCCCAAATGTTTTGGAGTGTGTTGCAGGCATTTATTATATGCTGAAATAGCATATATTTACCCAAAAAAATAGTGAAGCTGATAAAACATCACTGCTTTCTGTTAGTATTTTTATTTCACATAATGTCCCAATTTTTTTGGAATTGGGTTAGTAATGGCCACTGCTTTAGAGGAACGATTAATTCAGTTTGTGTTGGCATAATTTTCTACTTACTGCTACTTCCCCCCCCCACAAACTTAATTTTTTTTTTCCTCAGGAGTGGTATCCACTGTGGTTCCTGACTCTATTCACAAGCTTTTCATTGGAGGTCTGCCCAACTATCTCAATGATGACCAGGTGTGTTTGTGCTGTCTGCATACACTGTCACTAATTATCTGGTTAAAGTAAGTAAATATAGCTAACATGACTGAACAGGGAAAAGTTTGTATTCAGGCAAGAAAAGAAAGTGAAATGTTTAATTGGTGATGATTCAAATCAGTGATTAACCTTTTGTTTGTTAGTGGTTTGTTAGTTCGTGGAATAAACAGGCCACTTTAACCTTCAATGTTGGTATGAAACATGAAAAGCTTGGAACAAGGCAAAAAGTTTCTAAACACCACATTCTCCTCCGTTCTGTGTTGTAGGTGAAAGAATTGTTGACTTCCTTTGGCCCCCTAAAAGCATTCAATCTTGTGAAGGACAGTGCCACAGGCCTCTCTAAAGGCTATGCTTTCTGCGAATATGTTGACGTCAACGTCAACGACCAGGTGTGTTGGAGGGCTCTCATGTTGGAGAACACTCAGAAATCAAGCCATCAAAATATGACTGCATATTACTAAACATGATGCATCCCACTTTAACATATGTGTTTGTGTGCTTGCATGAACTTCAGGCTATTGCAGGACTGAATGGGATGCAGTTAGGAGATAAGAAGCTCTTGGTCCAGAGAGCGAGTGTGGGAGCCAAGAATGCCACTCTGGTAAGGAGGCAGACTTTGTTTTAAGAATTTGGCCTGTAAAAGACCTTCTTACCTTCTTCTTTTGCCAAACCTTCAAACGTTTGTGCTGCTTTTTGGTTAAGCCCCAGAATTGTGGATATCACTTGATTTTTCTCCTTCTCATCTCCGCCCACCCCCCTCTTTCCTTTATGCTAGATTTGTTTAAATGGTTAAGGGCCTCTGTCTTACTGTCTGTCTCTTTGCCTCTCCCAACAGACGAGCATAAACGAGACCCCAGTGACACTGCAGGTGCCAGGTCTGATGAACAGCTCCATGAATCAAATGGGTGGAATCCCCACTGAAGTGCTGTGTCTGATGAACATGGTGGCCCCAGAGGAGCTGCTGGACGACGAGGAGTATGAGGAGATTGTGGAGGATGTCAGGGATGAGTGCTCCAAATATGGCCAGGTCAAGAGCATAGAAATTCCCCGACCCGTTGACGGCCTGGAGATCCCTGGAACTGGCAAGGTAGAGAAGTTGTTGCACATCTATATAATGGCATGTCTCATGTAGTATAAAGCTGGACTTCTAGAGGAATAAATATCCCACCTCAGAATTATCTGATTAAATTATGATCACTTCATGTGTTTTCTAAAGAATCATCTTTCTAGTAGGGATCAGTTTTTGGCTGAGCTATAACACAAAACAGCAGACTTGCATGTTTGTAGTAACAAATTGTGTGTATATAATTTAAAGCTCCAAAAACATAATGAACAAAACCACCTCAGTATATAGCCATCACTCTGTTCCAATAATAGTCAGTGTTATGCTTTAAGTTGAAGTAGTTACTTAAGGGTTTACTGTAAAACAACATACGAAGTGACTGATGTATATATGCTTTACAAGCTTCAAACGTCAAAACATTCCTATCTGATTGTATTATTAAAAATTGGAGCATTTTTGGCATTAAACGCTTTACTTTAGGTGTGCACAGATCAAATGAGCTGATACTTCCTCCTCACACACACAAGGAGACAGGTTTTTTTTTGGTTTGTCTCTTCTATAACATTGTGTTTTACCCAAAAATTTGTTCTAAAATTTGTTGTTTTAAATGCTTACCTAAAAATTTTAAGGTAAGTTTTAAAAAGGTCACATCAGATTAGCAGCAGCAGCAGCCTGTGAGGCAGTAGTCAGTATTCTGGCACATAACAATGTGAGTCTGAGGCTGTAAATTTTCACTGAACAACAAAAATGTTAACCCGTGCTGCAGGTCAAAAGCCCATTAACAACATCTGTTTAGTTTTTACTAGTGCTACAACATGAAATATACAAACGTACCAAAACAATAACGGCTAAGCACTAATCGAAACAGGCTACAAACTAATAGCTCACTAGAACTGTGAACTAAACTGCGTCTGTGAAAGTGAAACTAACTCAGATACACAACTAACAGACAAGGCACACACATGGTACATACATGGTACATACATACCTTAACAACAGTTAAGAAGGGATACTTCATTCACGCCAGCAGCAGACAAAAAAAAAACCTAAAAAGTGAACTTCACTCAGTGCTCCGTTTTTCCTGAACGTGCAACATGCAGAAGGGACCGGAGTGAAACTGGATCAGAGCTTTTTTTCTCCCATGCAGCTTTATATACATTTATAAAACGTATAGTTCCAGTCCTAAAATCTGATTGGCTGAGCCACGTGCGAAGCAGTTGTAAAATCCACGATATACCAGGTTATGACCACCTCATGACAACTGAACTCTGTATTATTGTGCCACAGCACGAAAAACCCTTCTGCTGTAATGGATTAATCTTTGACTAATGCTGATCGCACAGCGCACCGAGTGTACTGATTTTGTTTAAACTGAGGGGCTGAAAACTTTTCTTTACTAGAATTAGGCTGGCCGGCTGGCCAGCTAGCCAACAGACTAAAAAAATAGCAAACATGCTAAACAACTCCATCATTCATATCACAGGCTTGAATTAAAGTACTCACACTTTGATTCACTGAAAAACGGCAATATATGTCTAAAGAATGTAATCTGAATGGCTTACGTACTTCAAATGTCTGTGTTTCAGTCAGAAGTAGCTTCAAACCCAGGCTGAATCCCAAACGGCTCCGTACTCCTTAGCTAAATAGTGTGCTGTGTAACATGTAAGTTTAGAAATTCTAGCTTCTGCTGCCAACTAGTGCACTGCTTGTCGAGTATGAATGTGGGTGAATCCCAAATGACCAATTTTAGCGATATTCAGTATTTAAATTTCTGCGTAGTACACTATGTAGGGAGCAGGGAGCCGTTTGAGATTCAGCCCCAGCGTGAGAAAAGCAGTGTCGTCAGACTGGTAGAAGACTCGCGGTGTTAATTTGGTGACCAAAAAGTATTAAACAGCGCTATGTTACATATGTTCAGTCTTACACAAAGTTTTAAAAAATCATTAAGTGTCTGCAGTATACAGTGATTGGCAACAGAACATTCTCCTCATTCAGCAGTCAGTGGTTGCTTAGCAACGATACCGTACTCTAAAGGAACTATATTTCTTGGCAGAATACTTGTTTATGTTGATATTTTTAATAATAACTTAAGTATGTAAATCATTGTGTATTTTAATATATTTTATGTTGGCCGTCGTTTTATAAAAGCAGTAAGCCACTCAAGGCAGTGCGTTACTGTGGTTTTATCACGAGGAGGGGAGTTTTAGGCACTCCATGTCGTGCCAAAAAACACCCCCGTGATAAAATCGCAGTAACCCACGGCCTCTTGTCGCTTACTGCTTTAATAACCTTAACTATTAGACTGCATGTTACCAAGTGCTCAATTTTGTAAAATATAATGCTCTCAGACGTGAAAGCAGTATGTTTCACTCGTGTTAACATGCTATGTTAAAGTAAATGAATAAATATAGAGACAGCCATCACTGTATCAGTATGTGTATTGCCACAAGCTTATCTGCATCAGTATTTTTAACACAGCCTTAAGTGCCCCAGTAGTTTGCTTAAACCAAAACATTGATCATGTGTGCTGTAAACATTGGCATTCACTGTACATCTCTAATCATGGCAGTTTCTCTGTACCTTTATACAGATCTTTGTGGAGTTCACATCAGTGTACGACTCCCAGAAAGCCATGCAGGCCTTAACAGGGAGGAAGTTTGCTAACCGAGTGGTGGTGACCAAATACTGCGACCCTGATGCCTACCACCGCCGAGACTTTGGCTAGACAGGAATGGATGGAAGAGGAGGAGTGGAGGAGAACAGTCTGTATGGAGATGGAGGAGTGAATGGAGGGATGGCAGAAGAGGGGACTTTTTGTAATTTTTTTTTTTCTTTTTTGTGGAAGATGGCATTTGCTTTTTTTAAAGGGGGTATTAAAAGCAGAACATTGCAAACAGCTGTAATGTAATTTTGTGTTTTAAAAAAAACAGTGAGGATTCATTCAGTTAATTATTTGATTTTAATTGAATTAGATTGTTAGAAGCGGGAAGTAATGACTTAGCTCCCTAAATCAGAGAATAGTGACAATGGCAGGAGTGAGTAGTACTGAACGTTTAATTCTTCACACTTCACACAACCACCAAAGAGAAAAAGGAAGCTATCTTTGATCTTTGATCTCTCTTCAATCACTAATTTTCTCTGCTGGGGAACCGACGGCATTGTTTCTGCTTCTCTCACTTTTTTCAGCTGTTTCTATCCAGATTTGGTTTAGTTGAACCAAGGGTTAGTTTATGCCCAACTTTGTCTGTCTGTTTCCTGTACGCATCACCGCCTTGTACAATGGCAGTGTTACATCAAGTCTAGTGTGGCACCTTTGTGTCTCTGTATGTGTGAATTTGAATATAATAGCCCTCGTTTGATAATAAAACTATTGAAAAATATCTTCATTTGGTGGCTGTATTACGCTGGTGTCTTGTGACAGATTTGCAGTGGTTTGCCTGTTGAACCAGTTGATTTAGCCTGCAAATATAACATCCACAGTGAAACCTTTTTTGGAGTATGTCCTATTTACTGCTGAACATTCATTTTAAAAGATAAAATATTCAGAATGATCACATTAGTATATTTCCTGTACTTTATATTAGCCAAAGGCACAGTACACACATTATTTGCTCTTTAAGGGGCCAAACTGGCATTTAAAAATTGTAAATGGAAAAAAAGTTACTTATTAAAATTACATGAATGAAAGAGTGATACATTGAAAGTAAGCAGCAACAGGCTATTAAGTACAATGCATAATTATGCCATATCATATCATTGCAACACGGATTGGACAGAATCTAAATAGTATTTAAATATTGGCTGATTGCCAATTGCGTTTTTGGAGCAAAAATCTGCCAATTGCCTAATTTGTAGTCTTTCAAACTGTTCCATTCCTGTTCCATTAGCTTTGAAAATGCCTTTCTAGCGGAGGTCCAGCCATATCCTGACATAAGCCAAGTGGCTATGTGTAGTAGCAGTAGCGAGCCAGAAGAAGCATAGAAGTAAGCTTAATGTCTGTATTAAGTAAACTGGCCTTAACCTTCCAGATTATTAAAGGAAAATTGCACTGATGTCATTTTCTATATTCCTGTTGTCTTTGCTTATTTTCTCTAAAACCAAACCAAATAGTTGTTTTCCCAAACAAAATGTCCACACTTGTGACCTTGGAGATTCCATGATCAAAACGTGAAATAAGCACTCCTCACTATACTGCATATCCAAATGTTTGCTTACACCTGCTCATCCAACATTTCTTGTTAAATCAATGCTATTCTGGATCACAAATGCTACTCCAATTCAACAGACAGTTTCACTGTTCTACAGCCCATTGCAGGGGGGCTTTATACCCCTCTAGCTGATGCTGGCATAGGGCATGGTGACCTTAGGCTAATGTGTGGCTGCTCCAGAACATCCCATTCTATTGACAGTGCCTTTGTAAGGAGATTATACAAGCTGTGTGTGCACCTGAACACCTTTTTCAGCAGTGGATGCATCTTAAACTAGCTGAATTCACTTATTAGAAGGGCTGTCTGGATACTTTTTGACATATAGTGTACTTGATGCAGACAACCAATGAAATCATCTCTGGAAGCATTGTTCAAGTGTTTAATACTCTTTCAGAAAGTCAGATGTGTTGTAACTCATGAAATTCTGATACATGCCAATATATGTATTTTAATTTGTGACAAATTAACACAATGGATTTCCTTTATATATCCAACTTAGGAACATGTGTGACATATACATCAACTTGTTTGAAATGGGTCATTTTCAATTGTGAGACATATGTCCCAGTTATTTATCAACACGTATAAACATACAGAAATATACTATAGAAAACACAGATGGCATATATTACTCAATGTGTGCTAGTATAATAGCTACATAACTCTAAAAACATGCACATTGCAATCTATGCAATAAAATCATTAAAACATAAATGAAAATATTGTTCCTGGATACATTTAAATAATTATTAAAATTAAACAGATGACATAGTAACATCGAGTGTACTAGGATGTATTCGACCATGTATCAGACATATGTCTGATCCATACTTTATGCACTTTTTCACCTCTCTACAAGACAGAGAAACAATATGTATGATCTATATACAGGGTGTCCCAAAAAAATGGACATCATTTTGTAGTCTAATAACACGGCCAATTCTCCCTCAAATGATTTCAAATTTTAACAAAATGTGTAAAAACTAACCAAGTTTAATTTTTGATGTTTTTTTTTTTCAGGGACACCCTGTATCATGCATATATTCACTCACCAGTCAGACATACATATATGATCCATGTTATGCATATATGGCCAATATTTAATACTTACATACAATAGAGGACAGGCGCTGTGCCCTTCTGCACTCAGAGCACAATCAATAGAAAAGTTATACATGCTTGAAAAGCCTTTTAGAAAAACTGCTGACAATGCCAGTTGTGTTTGATTTTATAAATCTTGACAATGATCCACCATCCAAATAATACCTGACCACTGATTTAAAGGGGGCTAACTATGCAGAGAAACAGATGAATTACAGTCTGCAATTGTAGAACTACAAAGTGCTCCTGTATGTTATGTGGAGCTGATATACTGAACAGTAAGTGTAGATACAAGGTAGGTGTACCTAATAAACTGACCACTGAGCATACATTTACAGTGGCTCTCAAATGTTGAAGAAGAGTGAGATGTTAAAAATAACTTCTGCTAGAAAAACCAGCACATAGCAGCATGACTGTTCACCAGCAAAACCAGCATATGTTGTGTTTTGGATGCAGGTATGCTGGTCAGCAGGTTGACCATGCTGAGTGACCAGCTAAACCAGCCCCAAAGCAGAAAAGATCAGCAGTCTATGTGTTTTTTTTTCAGCAAGGATACAATGCAGGATATTAGCATGGAAGCCCATTCCCACCACTTAAAATAAGCACTTAATATTTTTTTTATTCTTAAGTAAATTGATATGCCATGTTATGCGATACGAAGTCATTATTCTGCCATACTATTTTGAGATACTATCTCATTATTTTGACATACTGTCTCATTTTTTACAATATTATCTCATTATTTTGAGATACTATCTCATTATTTTGGGGTGCTATCTCATTATTTTGTGATACTAAGTCATTATTTTTGTGATACTACCTCATAATTTTGAGATAGTGTCATTTTTTAAAATACTACCTCATTATTTTGAGATGCTATCTCATTATTTTGAGATCTTTCTTATTGTTATCTTTCAAACTATTCCATTCCATGAGCTATGAAAATGCCTTTCTAGTGGAGGTCCAGCCATATGCTGATAATACTAAATGCCATTGTTATGCCATACTTTCATTATTCTGCCATACTATCTCATTATTTTGTGATACTAAATCATTATTTTGCAATACTATCTCATAATTTTGAGATAGTCATTTTTTAAAATACTACCTCATTAATTTTGAGACATGATCTCATTATTTTGAGATGCTAAGTCATTTTAAAATACTGTCTCATGTTGCAATACTAATGCATTATTTTAAGATACTATCTCATTATTCTGAAATACTACCTATGACTTAGCATCTCAAAGTAATGACTTAGCATCTCAGAATAATGAGATAATATCTCATAATAATGCCTTAGTATCGCAAAATAATGACTTAGTGGCCCATAATATCATAGCAATTCACTTAATAACTAAAAAAATAATAATTAGGTGCTGCATTTCTTTTAAGTGGCAGGAATGGACTTCCATATATTAGATATCCTTGTAGCTAATGGTTGAAATATCAAGCATTTCTTCATTTAAACACATGGACTGTTTGTATCTGAAAGGCAAAATCAAGTAATTTAAAATTATGTCTACCCACCAGGTTCCACCATTCTTCCTGCTAAAGCATGTAACATAAACTCACTCTAAAACAACATAAACCCCACATTTCTCATTAGTTGTGAGAAACTTTATTAACGTTAAAGGGAAATTCCACCAACTTTTAATACAGTGGCGTCGCTGTAGGGAGGCCATGATTCTACTACGAGAAATGCTCTTTTATTAAACACCAGCAGAAAAAGCACATAACAGCACAGAACGAATAGTAGGAGGTCATCACCAGCCATACACCTCTGCTTTACGGTAGACACTCAACCCAACTATCCAAGCCCACTGTCCGACACACGGTGATACAGCAGACACATAGCACATCTTTAAACCAGCAAACAACATAAACAACAAGCCCCTTTTCTTGAGGGTGCGCACCTCCCATGAGCCTCGACATCAGCGCCAGCTAGTAGCAGGATGCTATAAGATATACACATAATTAAGATTAAGATGTAAACAAATTCATTCAGAGTGGTTTGGTGTGAAATGCTCAGTACTGGTGATAGGAACCAGATGTCTGAAGAGCGTAATGCCTCTAAAAGCTCCTCACAGAAAGCTATTACATAAAATGGTTATGAATACTCAGCCTCAAGTCTGAGGCATTGTTTTACGACAGTTTTGTAGGTTTTGGCCTAAAATGTATATTTCGGGCAAGAAAGGGGATGGTGGAGGTACATTCAGGGTGTTGTGAGGCAAAATAGCACCCAAAAACCCCCTTTTTTTTTTTTTTTAAATCCAGATTTACTACCATTTTACATTTATTAACATAATTCATGTGCACAAGTATGCTTACTGATTGCACTGGATAGTAAATAAAAAGGTTTGATTTGCATTGTGGACATTACAATCCCTTGTTCCACACCACTCTGAATAATTTACATCACAACCACTGAATCATGGCAATTTATACATTTATTTTTAAGCAATTCCCCTTTAAGCTTTCAGAATGTATCTAGATAGATAGGCAGTATATGAGTGAAGTATGAGAGAAATCCGTGCTGTTTTAATCAGTTAAGTCTTTTAGAAACTCCCTCAACTGAACACGGTGGCAGAGACACTGTCGATTCCCAAAATTAAAGAACACTCCACCCATTCTTGTTTAATTACTGTATAATTAAATGGTTGTAAACAAAGTCATTCAGACTGGTTTGGTGTGAAATGCTTCTAGAAAAAGTTACTGAGTCAGAAATGTTAACAATGGTGGTGATAGGAACCAGACGTCCACCTCTAAAAGCTCCCTTACTCCCTACAAGGAACGGTTATGAATAAACTGCTTATTGTCTGAGACAGTTTTAGGACCGTTTTGTGATAAAGTTTTGACCTAAAACGTTTTGTTAATCCATTTATTTTTATACATTCGTGGCGGAGGGATACATGCAGGCGGTTTAAGGCAAAAAATAGTCCCTTTTTTAAGGTTTTCCACTATTTTCGCATCATCACCGTTAGCTACATATAAGAACTCATAAGACACGGTTCACTGGTGGCTTTGGATAGTAAGTAAAATGGCTATATTTGTGTTGTAAACATCGGGACCCCTGGTTTCTATCACCACCACTGTAAAGAAATCCGAGTCTCTACAATGAACCATTTCATATCGAACCACTCTGAGTGACTTTTACATCACAAGGACGGAATTATACAAAAAAATTCGACAATTTCGTGGAATTCCCCTTTACGTTGCTCCTCTTTCTCAGCCTGGCTGCTTTAAGGTTGTTTTTGAAGTCTGAGGTGTGTCGCAGGTTGTTCTCCTAATGCTGTGGTTTCCTCTGCTCAGTGAGAATTTAGGTTGCCCGGTCCACCTTTAACCTCACCGCGCACACCAACCAACGTGCGGAGTGCACGGAAGCTGTCAACCTGCGCCTCTAGATCGACAGGGCCTCTGAGCCAATGAGAGACGACTGATGAGGACCGCCGACCAATAGGAGCGCAGGGAGGCGGAGACCGGGGCCATCGGCGCTTCGGCGGAGGAGGTGTTCCTGGTGGCCATCTTTGATGCGCGAAGTGATTGTTTGGCGAATAGAAATAATAGGAAATAAAAATAAAGCCTGAAAAGTTGGGCAGTGGTGGTTGGAACAAAGGTGAAATAAAAGGAGGGAAAGTGAAACTCAGGAAAACCAGGTAAACGGCCCTCGTTCCGCGGGGAGCAGCGCTCAGTCTTACGTGCTTCTTTTTTTCCTCTTTTCCTTTCCAATTTGTAACCCAGCCAAAAAAAAGCTTCGCCGGTCGCGGAGACCCACCAGCTCACTGGGGCTCACGGGCTGGTGGGAAATGCAGCGAGCCCTCCAACTCCCCGAAGTCTTACTTCGACGTTTTAGTCAGTCGGAAAACGGTTTGCGCTCGACTCAAGTTTGAACTCCGAGCTCTCCGGTCTGTCTGTCTGCGCATCCGAGAAACCTGGAGGAGCTTCTCACTCGCCAGCTTCTTGTTCGGATTTTCCGTTCCACCTTAAATGGTGCAGCAGTTACTGTTATACCGCCTCAGGCGCCACAATGTAACTGCTGCACCATTTAAGGTGGAACGGAAAATCCGAAGGAGAAGCTGGCGGATAGGAAGCCAACTTCAGCCTCGTGAGGGAGCACATGCATGAGAGGCTGGACTGGAGTTCAGTCCTGCTGGAGGATTGTCTGCTCTGAGCCGGAGTCTCACACCGAGGCTGGACCGGTTCACTTTAACCCGGGCATTGTTTGTGTCTCTGTTTGGTGGAGTATCAGAGCCGGTACCGGCGCGTACTCTGTGTAACGGGGCGAATCGTGCAGGCTGATGGAGGGCTGGCTGCGGTTTAACTTGTGCTGTGTGTGGAGCTGTTGGGCTGTTCAGCAGTGAGAGACTTGACCAAGTCTTGCCTGAAACCCAGCTGAAGCCCTCCACACTGCGGGACGGTCAGGGAGTTTCAGCCTTGTCCGAGCCAAATGAATGAACGGGGACGATATGCTATGATGTGGTGTTTCGTCCTTTACTGTTCAAACTTGGTGTCCTCGTGTTGGGAGCTGTAGAGCTGAGTGTCTGATCTCCTCATAATGTCCTGCTTTTAGTCTCGAGGAAAGTGCTGAGTGTTAAATGCTAAAGAAAAGTGAATCGCCTTAAATCTGGTCAGATATTTTTTTTATTTTTTTAGGAAAGCAGTTTATTTTTACCACTCTGCACACATGCAGGCTTTGGTGCTCAGTTTTCACACACATGGTCTGCTGAGATCTGTATGTAGTTGGTTATTTGGTGAAGTAGATTGCTGATGTCTAAAAAAGTTCCCACGAAGTGCTGGACCTTTGATGCTGGGGAATGTTTTGTTGATGAACTAACACAGTATTTCCCCAGAAAGTCTCCTGACCATCTCGCTCTGTATAGTCATGGCCACACTGCTTATAAATCTCAGTGGCCTTATAATGTGCTGTATCACAGCTTGTGTGTGCTTATGCTTGGTGTCTGAAGTAGAGCTTAAAGGGGAATTCCACCGATTTTTAAAAAAATGTCTGTAATTCAGTGGTTGAGATGTAAACAAAGTAATTCAGAAAGGTATCATATGAAATGGTTCATTTGTAGAGAAACATGGACTCTGATTTCTGTACAGTGGTGGTGATGAGAACCAGTGATCATAATGTCTACAACACAAATGTAGCCATTTTATTTACTATCCAAAACCACCAGTGAACCTACATGTGTGTCTTTTACGTTTTTATATGTAATGTTGATGATGGTAAAATAGTGGAAATCCTGAGATTGGGGACTGTTTTGTTTCAGAACATCCTTCTTGTATCCCAACACCATGAATAGATTAAAATACATTGATAAAAATACATTTTAGGTCTTAACTTTATTAAAAAACTACCACGACATAGTGTCCTGGATGTCAGGCTGAGTATTCATAACCACTTTGTGTAGAATTTTTCTGTGAAGGAGCTTTTAAAGATGGATGTCCGGTTCCCATCACCACCACTACGAACAATTCTGACTCTGTAAGTTTCTCTAGATTGAAGCTTTTCACACCAAACCACTCTGAATGGCTTTGTTTACAACTTAGCCATTTAATTATGCAGAAATTTTGAAAAATCGGTGGAGTTCTCCTTCAACCATAATACATGGATAAAACTAACCTCAGTGTTAATATAAGCCTACAAATAATCCTGGTTATGCAGGCTTACGCTGGTCTGAAGCCTGAAAGAATTGGATCACTGATTAAGGTCCCAGTTTCATAAAAGACCATCTCACAAAGAGCATCCGTATTTCAGCTGTTGTGTGTTTTCTTTTTTGTATAATTTTTAGATTGTATTGTATCTTTTGCATATTTTGTATATATTTTTGTTTGTCAGATCAGTTTATTATGAAAAAGATTCAGACTGGATGGAATTTATCAGCGGGCCGTGTTTGCCGTTGTGTTTTTATGCTGTGGAGTCCTGTGTTAGGATTTTGCTTTCAGAAGGTAGTGAGAACGGTAAACTGCTTGGTGGTTTTTTTATGTGACGAGTGAATGTTGACTATTCTCTGGGATTTTTTAAAAAACTTTGATTTAATTTACCAGACAAAAGAAAAACTAATTGAGAGCCTCCCTTACTGGTCCAAACAATAGCACATGAGAGATGTTGAAAATGGTGACTCTCAGGTTCCTTCTCTAAGTTGTTGCTTTAATCTTTTTCAGCTATACTTAAAGGAACATTCCAGCCAAAATAAAAAATGTGGCCATCGCTACATCTATTGCAAACATGCCTGCCCACCTCCTACATCAGTGCCGCACTCATCTCTAGACTGAGATAATCTGGTATAAAAACTAGGAAAACCAAAATAATTTTGGAAACTTATCAAGTGCTTTTTAGTGGATACTTGAGGCTGAGCTGTTTGAAATGTTTTTTTTTTCTGCTGGCTGGCTAATATAAAGTTTGAATTTATTAGCCTCTATACCAGTGGCTATGCTAGAAGTCAGGATCAAGATTTATCGCAGTGGCGGATATTTCTGATGGTTGTAAGGCTGAGAGATAAAATGCTGTGCTACAGAACGTTACGCAACTTGACAAATAACTTAACAAGTGCTAGGTTTTAGGCCGGAATGCCACTTTAACACCTAATTTTCAGAATTATTAGACAGATACTTGCTTAAGATAAAGGACAGCAGGGTGAATCTCTTTGTGTGAGGATCTGTAGAGTTTAGTGTTCAGCATTCACCCCTCTCTTGTTTAAAAAAAAAAAAGTGCTGCATGGCCAGTTTGGAAAGATGCACAGGTCAGTTGAACTCTCAGCAGAGTAACTGTTTGCTTGCTCCCTGTATTGGTGGCAGGAATGGGACAGGTGGGATGTAAGTTTCCTGTTGTGATGTCAGGCCAAAATTGTCAACATTTTCAGTGTTGTTAAAATTTTGCACTACTACTGGGGTACTCTGTTATTACTAGTATTTGTATGCTGAAATCATTATTCATGTATTTGTTAAGGCCACTGTACACCGAACATGACTTATTTGTGCAGTTTATTTGGGCGACAGTAAATTAACACATATCAAGCATGTGTAACTGGTGGTATCTCGCATGCGAGATGCGTTTTTTCACACAGCAAAAATGCAACATTATCTATTTCGCTCTCTGTTTTGATTTTTGCCGGTGACCAAATCTCACTGACCTATCATGGTTGCCTCTGCTGTTGGCATGATGACAACCTAAATGAAGGAGCAGCTGTTTTCCAGCAAATAGAACTTTTTTACAAATACTAAAAGGATCAGGATCTCCAACAGCAGCTCAAAATTGACTCAAACTAGGCTATAAACATCAAGTTATATGTGGAAGAATTCAGCGTTTCAGCTTCTCAATGAAGTAATGAAGCTCTTCATGCTGCTTTCACTTTTCCAAAATGTCACCGTTTGTCCGTTGTGCTGGGAGCAAAGAATCGGATCCTATTTGCACTTAAAGACATTCATCCTGTCTGTTTTGTGCTTTGTTTAGTGTGGAGCTGCATCTATAAAATCAGCTCAAATGGAGCTGAGGTCCCAGCTGCGAGTTGACACACATACAAAGTTTAGCTCCTGAAATGTGGTGGTGAAAATCTCAGTTCTCCTTTTGCTTTTCCTAAGTGAAAAGCATCTTGCACCGTATCACAGTTTGCCTGTTTCCTGAGAAGCAAAGGGCCTTTTTGATGTGGTTGATATATATGAAAAATATACATGGCAGAAAATGTATGTTTCACCCATTTTTTCTTCAGTGTGAAAATCTTGGCCGAAAGAATTCACATTGCATCCAGTGTGTATAAAATTATGCCCAAATATTTCGCATTTTCTTGTCGTTTTTTCGTGTCACATTCTGTGTGTAATGGCCTCTACTGTACGTTATGCAGGGCCAGGGAGATTTAATAAGACTTGTGAAGTGTGGCAGCTTAAGCAAGTAGATTCGATAATACTTTGTGACTACAAAGCATGAATGCCTTAACATGAGCAAGGTTATTAAGGAAGTGATTGAGAAGACAGAGGTAGTGTGGTTGTAGCTAGACTAACTAGCTGGCATTAGCTAGAACCAAAAACAATTAAAAGATATTTCTACGCTCTAAATGTTACCTTGTCAAGCTAACAGGTTACGTCGTCCACTGAAGGTAAAAAACCTTGAGACATCACCTTCTACCACTGTATCCATCAACTCTGGTGTTAGCATTAGCTCATTAGCTCATCTGATGGGGCAGCCTTTGTTACTCAGACTTCATTTGATGTGAAAAACTACCGGTTTTACACAACAACTAAAACTAAAACAATAAAACATTTTCAAATGTACACCTCTGCTTGCTGCTAATTTCCTTATATGCTACTCATTTTTTATTAGCTTGCCAGTTTAATTGCTAGTTTAAACTGCTTGTGTATCATAAGTAAGAACTGTGATTATAAGAATATCAGCCAAAGCCTTAAAGTCTTTAAAAAAATGATCAGCATCAGACAGATTTGACGAATATTCAGAGCCAGTATTTGACAACATATTTAGTGTATTCCAGAAGAGCAGAATGTTTAGGTGATGTTGTGGTCTGTGCTGAAATCTCTGCAAATACACGTTACACTTGTCTATAATGTTACAAATGTGTATAATGTTTATGTTTTGGCAGATATATACATGAAAAACAGTGTTCATTGGCATCAGTCCTCAGTTCCCATATTGGTGCATCTCTATCAAAAACTATAGTTAGTTTTATTTTGTGTATCACTGCATCCAAGTAAACAGGGCTAATAATGAGCTCTTACACTTAAAGCTTGCGTCAAGATTCAGACTTGTGACGTCCTGCTGGTAGGGCAAAACCTGCCAAAGCTCTGGTTAAATCATTATTTTTATCATTAAAAGTGTTCTTTAAATACTAACGAAATCCACAGTATGACCAGAAAACCTCACTGTGACATATTTCATTGTGATTGCATTATCATATTGTCATATTGCTCACACCAGCAAAGTTTCAGATCATTTCTGCTCGATTTCTGAGAAGCCTCACTTTGCAGGTGACTCACTGCATCACCCCACTGACAGCAGCTGTTCTCTGTTAGACAGTATCACGTAACCACACAGGTGTTACCCACAACCTACAGCTCAAGCATTTTTCTAGATCATCACTTTTACTTTGAGATTAATCCCAATACATATTTTAGTTATAACTTCTTTGTACATAGATGTCTGAAAAAAAAAACAGAATAAAAAGTAAATAAATGAAGTCTATGAAACATTTATGGCTCGTATCTCCAGCATGGATCAAGCCTAGTCTAAATTGCAGCGGCAGTGATGAATCACCATAGGAAATTGTTTTGAGGCTTAGGCTCACTCACGGTCTGAGAAACTGAATGTGAAGTATGATGTGCCAGAGTGACAGTTTGTAATTGCTGTTGAGACACATTAAGAAAGCTGCCTGGTAGTATCTCAGCACAGGTATGTAAGAATAGAAGTCAGTGTGATGGTAACATTGCCTTTCAGTGTTTTGCCAAGAAATTGAGTCTGTAAATCTGCCACTTTTTTTAATGAGCTGTGAAGAGATGTTATGAATGTACTTTTCTTCTTAATCTCCTTGCTTTATTTGAAATTTGCCTAGCAGATCTCCACATGTGGTAATGAAGAAACACTGACCTTGAATTTTCTTCCTCTTCCCACAGTGAAAGAAGGCATGAAGACAGCATCATAGTCAAGTCATGGCTGATAAAAGAAAACTACAAGGTGAGTGCCTTCAGAAAAAAGGTTGTGTGCTTGAAGCTGTGGTTGTCCTAATAGTGAATTTTATCAGTAACCTCCCAGCACTAATTTAACACGTAGGCTGCTGTTCTGAGAGGAAAAAGACCTACGTCATCTACATATTAATTCAATATTTAAATATTAGCTAGTAATTAAAAATGCAGCTTAAATGGAATGACTGTGAGTAAAATTGAAGTCTGACCCTTGTACGGAATTCTGCACCAGGTTTAATAATCCAACATTAATGTTCCATAATTTCAGAGCCTACAGACTTTGTTTTGACTCAGTCATCCCACATTCTCATGTGCAAACATGTCCATCGGTTTCATTTGTAAAGAGCGGCTTGGCATCTTATCATAACACTTAACACAGACACCTTGTGCATGTGCGCACATCACAAGGTGGACAGCAGGACTCCGCAGACGGCGTGTGAACCTGAAGCAAACACGTTAGCGTTTATTCTGTGATGTGGTATCACGGAGTTGTCATACAAGTGCCTGTAGAGGTGAACCTGCTCAGTGAATCTCCCTTCAAATTCAGTGAATCTTTAGCCCCCTGATCAGAGGCCCTCCGATATTTTCAAGCATGTTTGATATTTGCGACTCAAAATGCGAGACGTGAGATGGTCAGCGGTGAAACTGAACAACTAATTCAGGCAAAAAACAACGAGAGAGCAAGGAGAGAGACAAAAGGTGAAGATGACATGCACTCTGCCAGGTGAGCGGAGTCTGGACACAGAGGAGCAGACTGTTGAGTTCAGGCAAATAATTACTCTCTTTACAATTTCATGTCAGCAGACAGTTTGTGGTAAACTGCTTATTCAGCTTTGACAGTGATATCTGCGTTTCAGCCCCAGATTCGTTCCCAGTTTGAATTTTCACTATACTTCTTGTGCATACATAAAAGCTCAAACAGGTCCAATCCAGTTTAGCTTTAATTGTATCATGTGATGACGGGGGATTTTGAATGATCTTTGTAGTTGAAACTCATTTTGTGTGTACCCTCTTTTCGCCCTGTATTCTAGTGCAGGGTTTCTCAACTTGTGGGCCGCGGACCACCAGTGAGCCATGAAGCACCTTCTTGTGGTCCATGGGTCTGTACTCAGGGGGAGACAGTCGTTTGTAGTGGGCCGGTAGAGACGTATAATTGAAAACATCGCAGTCGCAGGCTTATTAAACGTTGTCAGATTGAGACAATGCAGCCGTGGGTGTGCAGTGCAGAGTTAGCCAGAGATGGAGAGGTTCCTCAGGGTGTTTCTACTACCTTGGTCGGTGCGGACCTATGAAACTTTTTTCTTTAGTTCGGTCCGTTTTGACGTGTGTGAACACTCCACCCGTCTTCGGGTCTGCATCAGATGCCGGTTCGGGAAAACCTGCGGGTCTCGGTCCACTTCCAGCCGCACCCTGTTGAGTTTGTTGCTGGTGGGATGCATTTTATGATCAAACGAGGGAATTCATCAGTAGAGATGGCTTTCCTCTTCTTCTAGCAGCACATCAGCGCTGTGCTGTCAGCATAATCCTCCTGTTTTGAATGTCTGACTCTTAACAGACTCTCATTGCTCTCATATCGTTCCTGCAAGTCGAGCTGCTGTTAAAATGACAGACGAGCCTTAAAATAATAGTGAAGATCTACATTTGATTTGACATTTGAGTATTAGCGACCTGAGTTAAAATCAAGTTGATAAACTACTGACAAAGAAGCAGATGTCAAGTAAGGTTTGTTATTACTGTTGATTGTGACAACACTAATGCAAAAGGCTACTGTGAGGTTTGTTAGCTGTTTTATTCAAAATGAACGCTGCACTCTGAGTTCTGAGCAAAGACAAATTGAGCAACGCTGCTAACACTCTGCACTGAAGCTAATAGCCTCGACAGCCTATTTTACAAAGACACTTAAAAAAAAAAAATCACCGTTTATACTTTGCTTTTCTATTCAGTCAAACTGAGTAAAGTCACATCGACGGACTTCAGTAGGAATTTGGACTCTTTTGCCTCTGTTTTGTCAGCCTGTTCTTTACTGATGTTGCAACAAATTCAAAAATTTTAAATAAACTTGTAGCATAAATTTGCACAGTTTATAAAAAAAATCTTTGATTTCTGATGCTGGTCCAACTTTCCCGCACATGCCTCCAAATCCCCCCTCTAAGTGTCTGCTGTTCTGTCCTCAGGAGAAATTGATCGATGTCTGAAAAAAGTAGCAGAAGGAGTGGAGCAGTTTGATGACATCTGGCAAAAGGTGAGATTTATCCCTGAACCCCGAAACGTATACATTTTGTTGTTGTTGTTGTTGTTGTTGTTATTAATAATATTATAATAATATTATTATTATTATTATTATTATTATTATTACTACATTTTTGCATTTCATTTTGTTAGTAGCACTGGCTTTCTGAACATGTCCATGTATTTTAGAAAGATACTCAAGCTATTATTTTCACTCTACCTCCTACCTTTGCACAAATGATTTTGTAGTGGTCAGCATTGTGTGTGTGTGTGTGTGTGTCTTTTTCCCCCCTCAGCTTCACAATGCAGCCAACGCCAACCAAAAAGAGAAATATGAGGCTGACCTCAAGAAAGAGATTAAAAAATTACAGGTGATTAAATTGCACACATTTGGTCATATGCTGTATGCTCTGGACACAGAGAGCTCAACAGTCATTTAGCGTAGTTTTACAGTGGTGGTCTGTTATCTTTGCACTTTATCCCATGTTCCTAAATGGGGTTTAACCGTTTTGTCTAATTTCTGACGTTCTTACGTTCACATTATCAGGCTGCAGAGCCAGGGGTGAGCGGTCATTTCCTATGGAAGTGGGTGACTTATAGTTGTGATTTAGCAACAAGCGACATGGCGAGAGGGAGAAAACATCATTGCATGAAGTTGAGATTTTCCCAGCGTTATGCAAATGAACTATGACTCAGTGAAGTGCTAATCTAAATTGGCTCCTTGGGCTAAGCGCTGATTCGGGGTCTGAGTCCCAGACTTGACTAGGGCACCCTTAAATTTCCTTTTAAATTTCTTGTCTGAAGCTGAACAATGTATACGCCCACATGTGACAAAAAGAGCCGCATCGGACACTCACAAGACACAGACTTGGGTCGACATCAGCAGTTTGATGTTATATTAACAGTGCTTAATGTGTCGCTTCCTAATGTGAACATATGGTTACAGAGAAGAAATTCACTAAATTTACTGTTTTGTTTTTTCACCTCCATGGAGATCTGTTATTACACAGCTTTATTTCAGCAAGTCTAGGTAGATAAGTTGCAGTGAATTGTGCAGCCATTGTGCAGTATGAAGAGTGATTATTTTTATAGTAATACTCCAGTGTTTTTCAACCTCATCTCTACCTGCCTCATCTGTATCATATGGTTGGTTACCATGGGCAATAATTTTGACCTGTTTCTCTGTACTTAAAAAGGAACTGAAAACCTGTTGACTCAGAACACACTTATAATATGGGCAGTTGCCCATTGGCTTCTATTACAGGTCTGTTTTGAATCCATAGGTTTTCTGTTCTTTAAATAAGCCCAAGGAAATTGTCAGTGGTGGTTTAGGTACTATACGTGCTGGAAGTGTATACGAGGTGCATATCAGTTCAGATTCCTCCTCTAAAATTACACACCTTGGTCAACTGCTACCAACAGATTCTTCTCACAGTGGTATATTTCGCTGTCCAAGGTGTGTTTATCTGTGTTGGTTGCTATGAGGACGCTACCCAAGCCAAGCATATGCATGTGTGTGAGTGAGGTCCACTGTGCTTGGCCTCACTAGGCGAGTCTCTGCACGCTGGATTCAGGTGTACTCAAACTTTCTCCTTGCTTCCCCCCATGTCTTTCTCTCTCTCCCTTTTTCTTTCCTTTTTCTTTCTTTTGGCCATTTCTTTGGGTTGGCAGCGCCTTCGAGACCAGATTAAGACGTGGGTGGCCTCCAACGAGATCAAAGACAAAAGGCAGCTAGTGGACAACCGCAAACTCATAGAGACGGTGAGTGTGCATTTACAGTTTGCTGTTCAGAATGAAAAGAATATCACTGCTTGTTATTTGTTCTACCAGGACATGATTGTAGAATTCTAGCATTTTGGTGCTAATTCTTTATTGTTCTCTATTATTTTTCTATTAGCGGACCAGCATTTTTTACTGGGGATCTGTTGGTTCTTGAATGTAAAGCGTATCAGTTAGGTCCAGCATTGAGATACAGATTTAAAAGCATTAATCTAAGACCAAATTCTGAACTTTCTCTGAGATTTATGAGTTTTATTGCTGTATGTTGTGCCTGTGATATATCTTGTGATATGTTAAAAGCACACTGATGAACGCTAATGTTCAGCAGAGATGGTAGCGCACAGCTCTAAAATGGTTATGGTTATACTTTTCAGAAACAAGCAATCTCACACTGAGCTTGTTCTCTGTCAAGAAAACTGCAGTGAGAAGTGACACACCTTCACTGTTCCCAGATATATCGTCCTCTTTAATCAGCATCCTGGCTGAAACATCACGCTTATATCAGTAATTGTCTTTACTGACAGTACTTTAGTTGCAGTTCTTGAGCTAGCTTTCTTATGCCTCATGTCATCACTGCCAAAATTATTACATTTTTCTTTCTTCCGCTTTTTTGTGTTGGCACCTTTTTTTTTTTTTCTATTTTTCCCCCAGTTTTTTTAAATTTTTTCTAGGGTTTATTCTTAATGTCATTGGTTTACAAAGATTCAAGGGCTACACACACATTAGTTATATTTTACATAGGCTAAACAATAGGCAGGCTTTTACTAGGTAATTAAAAATAAAGCATGTCCCAATCTTTTTACTGTTTATTTTTTATTTTTTTATTGTCTGTGGACTTTAATGTTGAGCATCAGCCAATACCAAGCCGAGTCAGTATTTGTGTTTTCGTAGGTAATAAATGCAGCCTTATAATTCAGGTAGGATGTGCTACTGTGCTAATTTAATACCAAAATAAATGTGTTTAATATTGGTGTGTGATCCAGTTTGATCCATCTCTGTGATGATTTGGCCACATCTTGTTTTAAACTGCTGCAGTAATCACTTCATTTTTGATGTGCATATCTGTACTAAACTGATGGCTTTTGTTTAGCTTTTCTTGGTTTTGAACATTTTAAATACTGTTTTTTTTTTTTTCTTCTGGAGGGGTAAAAGAACCTACAAAAATATGCTGTTTGTGTGCTGCTACAAGTTTGCCTGTCAAGCCTGAAGCCAATGAGGCGTCGGGTCGGATGTTATGAGAGTTTCTTGGACCTTTTTCCTCCATAGAGGTCTCCAGCTCCCCAAATCTTACATAGTGTAGCTTTAACCAGGAAAAGCACACGACACTGCCTCTGGTAAAATGGAGCATTTAAGCAAGAGATTTGTTTTTAACCACTTGTGAGAGAAGGGTGTCACAGGAGTGTATTTCCTAATAGCTGAAATGTATTAGATTACTAGAGGAAAGGGGCCTAGCTCGACCACAGTATAAACACCAGCACTGAAGATATTAGAAGTTTTACACCCTGCAAACATCTAAACTCCTATACTAACTTCTGAAGTGGCATTTTTATCAGAACCCGATCCTTTAGAATATACCTGGATCAGATCAAGCAGCTGTGGTGCTGGTAGTGGAGGTGGTAGTATCTGCCAGAGTGTAATTGTCGTGAATACTGTAGGTAATAAAGAGATTTTAAAAGAACAGACTAAAAGTCTGTTGAGAGATTTGATGCCTTGTAAATTTAAGGCTAGTGAGATTATTTCTTTTGCATTATTTTAAAAAACGAAACAATTATTTTAACAAATTGTTTCAAATGTTACGAATGTAATTTTGTAAATAGGGCTGTATATGTTTAATATTTACAATATCACTATCATTAAAAATAAGCAAAACTTCATCATCAATTATCGTGATGTTTACTGTGTATCACTATCATGCAAAACAGTCAGGACTAGGGTTCAGAACCTGCCATAGAGTACTGAGACCTTTACCAAGAGCTGTCAAGCTGTTCCAACAACAAGTGCAGAATGGGACTGCTGCTAGTATCTGAACCGTATCAGCATATAAATGTCATATATTGCGGCTGTGTCCTGTAATCATCATGACCATGCTGTACCAGTTGTTATATTAACAGTGCTTAATGTGGAAGCCTTTATTTTATTAGCAACCTCTGTTTATCAAATACACTCAGGACGAATGGTAATTTCTGCTAGCAGGAAAATGAGATTCTTCATTATGTGCTAACATCAACCCAACAATGGTGTTTTTCTTTCCCATATTGGGCTCACTACTAACATGGTTTGAGTCTACACATGGACAGAGAACGAACAAAGCCTGTAACAGATATTCAGGTAGCCCTTTTTACTATGTGTTCTCTAGATATACTATGAATCGTTCAGTTAATATTTGAAATTAATGCTGAACTACTGGATTCGCCTGTTAGCTCATTATCAGTCCACTGAACTGCCTAGGTGAAGTTCGAGAGGATTTTGTGCCGTTTACTTCATACGCACACAGTTTGTCCCTGCAAACTGTGTATTTGTGAGTGTATTTGTGAGATTGTGATTTCCCTTCTCTAAGCTGGTTGGCACAAAAGTTTTTACCTTTGTGATAGATAAAAGGATAAAAAGCATCTGTCTGCTCCTCCTTCTGCTGTGCTGTGGCTATTGTGATTGTTTATGAACTCTCCTCAGAGGAGAGACTCTATCCACGTGAATAGAGTATAGAGTGAATAGAGACCACAGGGGAGTTTCTGAAAGCAGAGCTGCTCTGTGTGTCTAAGAAACCTCAAGTGAAACTTCAGTTAGTGAATAAATTGCAGTGAAGGAATTTCCAAGGGTACAGTGTAATGTTACTTTGCACGTTCAAAACAATGTTGTAACAAATTATCGAATATGGCATTTGTCTAATTATCAAATATCCAACTCCTGGATGTACTGTTTTACACGCTTATGCTGCGAAATCCATTATCTTAGTCTTCGTCATCTTTGGAGAGTTAATGACTGGCACTCAGTTGGGACTGCTTGTAAATACAAGGTCCACTCATGTATTGTGGTTTTTCTTACTTCATGTGTACCAGTACTGAAATGCTTCCATCCTTGTGTCCGTAGCAAATGGAGCGCTTTAAAATCGTAGAGCGGGAGACAAAAACGAAAGCGTACTCCAAAGAGGGACTCGGCCTTGCTCAGAAAGTAGACCCTGCACAAAAAGAAAAAGAAGAGGTTGGACAGTGGCTCACGGTAAGAACATCAACCAGTGTGAACTATTCTTGACTATTCTCAACACATGCTACTCATGTTATTTATGTAGTTTAACTAGGTGTGACACAGCATGGGCAGCACTGTTTGACATGTTAATTCTGTTATTTTTTTTATCTCTCCACTATTTCTATCATACAGGCAACGATAGACATGTTAAACATGCAGGTGGACCAGTTTGAGAGTGAGGTAGAATCACTCTCAGCCCAGGCAAGGAAAAAGAAAGGAGATAAAGAGGTCAGTTCCCCTCTTTTTGCATCACTTTATTAATGCAGGCAGCAGTCCAACACAGATGGAGGAGGTGGGGTTGGCTTGTTAAGGACTGCACCTCTCCTGTTGTTTCTTTTAAAAGGCTGAGTGGCCGGAAGGTCATACTTTTGAATATATTTTCCTGCAAATGCCTGAAAAGGACACGCTGTATTTTCTCTAGACACACTGCCAGTCTCGCAAAACACACAAATAGGAAAGAGTTTTTTATACAAATTCTCCAGCTTGCAGAATATGTTGAAGGGCCAATATCCTACATTTTATTCCTGAGGTCCACTTATGATGTTAGTTTGGGTTTGCGTAACAAACAGTTGTAATTCATTTTAATATGACCGATTTCTAACCTCTCTTTATCCTCAGAATTAAACAGGCTGTTTTTGTTAAGGTGCCTCTAAGATTGATATACACTATTTGGACACCCCTTCTAGTTGTCAAGGTCAGGTGTTTCAGCCACATTCATTGCTAACTGGTATATAAAATCAAGCACATAGCCATGCAGTCTCCACAGACAAACATTGGCAGTAGAATGTCCTGAAGACCTCAGTGACTTTTAATGTGGCACTGTCATAGGATGCCATCTTTGCCACAAGTAAAATTTCTGCCTGGCTGGATCTGTCCCGTTCAACTGTAAGTGCTGTTAATGTGAAATGGACGTATCTATGAGCAACAGCTCAGCCGCAAAGCACTGAACTGCCTCTGGAGGCAAAATAAGTACAACAACTATGCATCAGAAGATTCATGAAATGAATTTCTGTGGCCGAGCAACTGCACTATGCGTAACTGCATAGCATCAGCCGTAAAATTTGGAGGAGGAGGGATAATGATCTGGGCTGTTTTTCAGGATTTGGGCTAGACCCCTTAATTCCAGTGAAGGGTAATGCTAGTGCTACAGCATACAAAGACATTTCTGACAATTAAATGCTTTTGACTTTGTGGCAGAAGTTTGGGGAACGCCCTTTCCTTGTTTCAGCATGACTGTACTCTTGTGCACAAAGCAAGGTGTTGTAAAGGAACTCCAGTGGCCTGAACAGAGCCATGACCTAAACCCACTGAAACCTTTGGGATGGATTGAACTGTCAGTTGTCAGCCAGGCCTTCACTTCCAGTGCCTGATCTTACAAATGCTCTTTTGACTGAATGGGCACAAATTTGCACAGACAGGTGTATGCTGAACAGGCATGTATATGTATATTTGTTGCTTTTTGTCACATCACGAATAACACTGATTTCAAGCTGGGCTCATTTTGCAGCTCAGTTTACATATATGGCCTGTATGGACTGGAGAGTGAACATACCTTTTGCAAATGTAACAATATTTACGTACTCTATCAAACAGTTGTTTCAAAAAAGAGAGGTTTTTCAGTTTTCCATGATATGGGCCCTTTAAAATTCTTGTGTAACAGCGCTAACACAGTGGTTCTCAGACTGAAGATAATTTTTAACAAGATAGTTCTCAGGGAAAAAAAAAATAGTACATAGACCTGTATATTGTTTGCAGTGGTGTATCATATCATGTTATATGGTTACTGCTGTCATCACATGACTTTACTTCACTTTACATTCTGTAATTCGGTGCTATTTCAAGCCAGATTTGTGTTTTGTTTTTTTTTTCTAACATTTGATCCTGAATGCTGATAATGGGTTTCAGATTGTTGCCATCTCTACTGCACATTTAAAATCTATTTTTTTTCCCCCTCCCTACTCTTTAGAAACAGGACCGGCTAGAGGAGTTAAAGAGGTTGATAGAGCGGCACCGCTACCATATCCGTATGCTGGAGACCATTCTGAGAATGCTGGACAATGACTCGGTACAAGTAGAGGCAGTCCGCAAGATCAAAGACGATGTGGAGTACTATCTAGATTCCTCTCAGGATCCTGACTTTGAAGAGAACGAGTTCCTCTACGATGACCTGGATCTGGAGGATATACGTAAGTATTGCTCTGTCTGGCTCTAGACAGTATTTGTCTGGTATCAGATAAATTGCCTCCATATATTATCAGCATCAATGAGCCAGTATTCATGCTTGCCTCAGAATCCAGAGTGGTGACTTCCAGTCCAAATTACGTGTTGTGAACACACACAAAGACAGTACACAAACTTGACTTCTGGAGCTGGGGCTCACTTTTTTCATGTCCCATCAAGAAATTCTCACTGATATGATGGCAGGCAGCTGTTTGCTAGGGATGTGCAGGTGCTAGTATTCAAATAATGAAATCATTATTCATGTATAAGTTACTTTGCATCGCAGAAAATCAAGGAGACGATATGTAAGCCAACAGTTCAGTGAAACGCTATATTTGCTCATATTTAAAATTAAGTATAGTACATTTATACTTAGCTCAGCGCCTTAACATGAGCACGTTTCGAGGGATGTATTGTTAAGGACATCATTAATAAGAAGGCAGAGTATGTGTAGTTGTAACTACACTAACAACTCTAGCTGGCACCAAAAACAATGACAGGATATGTATTTGTTCTCAGTGTTACCTTGACCATTTTGGCGTATCATATCCTGAAAAACCTTTCATTACCATCTACCGCTACACCAGGTAGTTCTTATTGCCTTAGCTTGTTCAAGGCATGTTTGTCAAGCACAGTGACCAAAGGATTTCCCTTGGACATTTTTAAGCAATATGCCTTGTTTTCAAATATAGACCTCTGTAAGGTTTTATTTCTTGTTTTGTTTTTACCCTGCTACAACCAGCTTACTGTGTTTTATATATAAACCTCAATTCCAACAAAGGTAGGACAATATATGAAGTGAAAACAGAAATGAGTGATTTGTAAATCCACTTTTATCTGTATTTAAATAAAAAAAACAATATAAAAGAAAAGATTTTATGTTGTAACTTCATTGTTTTTTGTAAATATATGCTTATTCCAAAACTGAAGCCTGTAAGACATTCCAAAATGGGGAAATCTGGAGAAAAAGGACCACAAATGAATGCCTGTGAAACTTTGATCTCTCAGAAGGAACTGCATTTAAAACAGGCATGGTTCTGTGATGAGTATCACCACATAAGTCTGTCCATACTTATTTCAGCATGACAACACCGAGCTACAGTCTGCACGTTTTACAACAGCGTCACAGAGGGTGCGGGTGCAAGGCTGGCCTGCCTGCAATCCAGACCTGTCTCCTTCTATAATAGACAAATGACAAAAAAAAAAATTGGTGTCTTCAGTTCCCATATGATTAATTGTTCTAAGATGCTCCTTTTGGAACATCACATTTGGAATGCCTACCACTAGTTCTCATCTTCTGTATATCTAATTTTTTCCTGTATTTCCTCCTAAAACTTTTTAGCCCAAACGTTGGTTGCCACGTCTCCGCCAGCTCACACGGAGGATGAAACCTTCCAGCACTCCAGTTCCACACCGACCTCCACAACCTCATCGTCTCCCATCCCCCCATCCCCAGCTACTTGCACTACGGTGAGCACTTTCATATTCCAGCTTGAGTACCCCGTGCACTTTTATCCATCAAAAAGATGAACTTTCTGGGGGCATTTTCAGACTAGTTATTTTAATGTTTTTTTTCCCTCTCACTTTATTTATTTAAATTTATTAATTAATTAATTTTTTCCTCTACCCTGGAGAATTCGGAGGATGACAAGAAGCGAGGACGTTCCACTGACAGTGAATTCAGCCAGGTAATTAAATGGAAAAAAAAATCCTATTCAACTGGGATATTTTAGATGGGACATGATGGATTTACTCAGGCAAAGTGCGCACATAAGAAAGCTGAAGAAAATAATAGGTGATGAGGGAGCAGTCATGAAATACAAGTAGCTGCCAGGAGAGGAGGTCTTCGATCTGCACACCAATCATTCCATTAAAGCACATGTGTCAGGATCCAGTCCTTGCGGGCCAAAACACTGCAGACTTCAGCACACTGAATCATTATTCATACACACTGAATCATTATAGCTCATCAGCTAATTAGCATGGCCTTCATGAACTGAATTCAGAGTGTTAGATGAGGGTATACGCTAATCTCCACAGCACTTTGGCCCAGAAGGTCCCCAGTTTGACATGCCTACTTTAAAATAAAAATTATGTAACATGTCAATGTTACAATATATTTGCATAAATTATAAATGTTACAATTTTTAAACCTTTTATTATATATTTCAGCGAAATCATTCCTGAGTAGAGTTTTCATACTAAGTAATGTTGTTTTTGCTTTTTTCCACCTTAAGTCTCCTGTGAAGAATGGCAACCCATCATCTCTCTCCTCCTCGTCCTCATCGTCATCCTCATCATCATCTTCATCCTCGGGAGCCTCCTCAACCTCAGTGGTGTCTATGGCAGCCATTGCCAGCAGTGGCGGATCAGCGATCGGGGGCAACAGCCTCTTGGGCAGCATGGGTGGCCTCCTTCAGAACTCTTGCAGCTACAGTTCTGCCATCCAGCAGCAAAGCCAGCAGAGCCAGCAGCAGCACCAGCCTAAAAACACCATCAACTCCCAGTCTAGTGCTGCCACCACCAACTCTAACAGTGTCCTCCTACCCACCCCCACCTCTGCTTCCTCCCCACCCAACACCAGCACACCAAGCTGCCAGGTGCAGCCTCCGCTGGGGCCTACTTCAGTCTCCAATCTGGGCCACAACCTGGGCTTGGGCTTGGGCTTGGGGAAGAGTGCCGTCACGGCAACAAGTGGTGCTAGTCAAATCCCAAGCCTTGGCCTTTCAGGGATGCCAGCATCCATGAACAGCATGGCGGGGCTCTTGCGAGGCTCCACCCCAGCACCTTACGCTCAGGCCGCCGCCTCGGGCACGGTGGCCAGCGGCTTACCGGGGTCCGTTGGGGCGAATGCCAGCAGCACAAACTCTAGTGGAACAGTACCCTCTGTGGGAGCCAATGGAAGTGTCACTTCCGTGGGTCTGTTAGGCCCAGCACCTGGTGTTACGGGGGTCAGCAGTGGGATATTAGGTCTTGGGTCCACGCAGACTGCTGTGCAGCCTTCCCCCCTGGTGGTACCCAGCCCTGTGGGAGGGGCCCTGACGCAGGGGAGCAGCGTGGGCGTTATCGGGAGCAATGGCGGAAACTCTGGGTCAGGAAGTACAGCAAGTATGGGAAGTGCTGGGCTCCCACGGCCACCTAGTGGACAAAAACAGAATGGCGGCACAAGTGAGTCAACCGTCATGTCGTTTTTACACAGTTATAGGTGGAAATAGTCCTGAAAATCCCTACTCATTAAAGCTCATTAAACATATCTCAAGTATTTGCGGAGTTACTTATAGGGGAGTGGTTGTCAAACTGGTCCTCATGTTTTTCCATTTTCCATGTTTGTGTGATTTTATGGTCCAAAAAAGTTATTCATCCTCATTTTTGCGTGACCATTTTCCCACCTTTCTCTGTCCCTTAGAATTAACAGGCTCCTATTGTTACTGTGCATTTGAGACTGATATATGTAAATGTTTTCTGTTATGGTTGGCTGCCCTATATTGTACCTCATTCAAGCCTCATTCAGTCTATGACATCGCCAATAGAACTTGCACTATAGAACAACAGAACATTTTTAAATATCGCTGTTAAATGTTTACTAAAGGCAACTCGTATTTATCATCCAGCTTACAGTGCCGTAGTAGCAGATAGCACATCAGACTCCGCCCTCAACAGTGCCAGCCAATCACAAAACAGCCAAGCCTCATCTTTAAATTCCACAGCCAGTCTGCCGTAAGTATCACCTCTTTGTCGTCTAAGTTTGCACACTGTTAGAGCCCGGCACTGCCTGCTGTGTGGGGTGCGGGGTGTAGGTTGTGTGCTACAGCAACTGCAAGATCTCCATTTTCTGTCTCTGATTTCATGATTTAGAGGGGGAATGTGGTTAGATCCTGCAACACACTGGCACGATTTCTCAGTTTCATTGTAAAATGTGCATTGAATTTTTAGATAGTTAAACAGAACAGCTTGTGTTCAGAACTACAGTGACCAGTGCGTGTCTTTTTTCACTCACAGTAAAGATAGTGGGTCCAGTCTTTTGGGGGCAATGACTCTCCCTCCCAGTTCACCCTCGCCCTCATACAGTGAGAGTAAACCCAGTGGAGGCAGCCTGCTCAATGGGCCTCACTCTTACACACCGGCTGCCGATGTCATTAAGGTAAGAAGATTGAAGTGAAAAATGGCGTCACTTGAATTACCGAGTTAATTATTGATTTGATTTGGTGATGTTAACTAGGCCCTGACCGATTATGAAACTTTTGTTACCAGTAGTGATTTTAAGAATTCTAATATATTGTTATATTGGTCAAAATAATTTTTTAATCAAAAATTCACCAGAGTCCAATATTTTAGTTAAATGGTGCTGTACTGAAGTAAAACAGTTCAATAACTCAAGAGCGGTACCCAAAAATGTAGTTATTTTTTCTAAATGGTTGTTTAGTGAAGTGGCCAGTTGACCAAAAGACGGAGATGGGGACTGGAGTCAGTAACTCGGGTCGCATGTTGACCGACTCATGGCTTAACTCGGACGAGCTTTTGACTGACTCGCGACTCTACTCTGACCAGCCTTTGATTGACTTGCAACTTTAGCGACTACACTAAAGACTTTTTGTGTAAAAAAATAAATAAATAAAAAAAAAGCTCGTGCAAACCATGGCACAGTTAATAAAACTTTTAGTTGCATGTTTGCCTATCAATTTTAGTGCGATGCCGTTCTCTTATCAATTTTGCTCTAATGCCATTCTCGCGTAGCTCGCAGCCATGTCTGATTTAATATGGCTTTCTGGCAATCTAGTCTAGTCAAGTTAATGTGTTTGTTTTTAATAAGTTACAGAACTCCTTCGTTTTGCTAAATTGTTAATAGCAGGTGAAGACCTTGACTGTGTGATTGGTCCCCTTTAAATAACTTTTAGTCATCCATTAGTTATCGTCCTATCAATCTTCAAGAAGTGTGTTCCTGCAGAGCATTTATATTTGAAATGGTTGTAAGGGTCTTTTCTCCTTCATCAGCCCCAGGAGTCACTTAGTACCCTGAAATCAATGGCAGAGAGGGCAGCTCAGGGCACAGGTTTAGAGGGAGAACTCTCTGCACTACATCTAACTGGAGGTGAATATTCAATTTAAACATATGCACAAGCCTCTCTACTAGTTATTAATAGAGTTTATTTAAAATTATCTTTTGGGCTCTTTCTGATTTGCTCTCTGTTTCTTTTTCGCTCTCTTTCGCTGCCTCCCTCACTTTCTCCCTCTCTCTAGATATCTTCCCCAGCTCTACAGCCCCTTCTGGTCCCTCAGCGGCCCCTCAGCCTTCTCTGTCGGAGGTGAACATCCCTCCATCACTGGGGGTCTGTCCCCTGGGTCCTGTCCCCCTCTCCAAAGAACAGCTCTACCAGCAAGCCATGCAGGAGTCAGCCTGGACACACATGCCCCACCCGTCCGACTCAGAGAGGATCAGGTACCCACACAGATCACCTCTCTGCCTAAGAAAAGGGAGAGTCTCTGTCTCTCACATTCACACATACACTATATGGCCAGAGGTATGTTGACGACACTCCTAATTATCGAGTTCTTCATTGCTAACAGGTATATTTAATTGAGTACACAGCCATGCAATTTCAATGGACAAACATAGGTCATAGGTCATAGAAATTTCTGCCCTGCTAGATCTGCCCTGGTCAACTGTAAGTGCTATTGAGATGTTCATCAAGCTCATACAGGTGTGATAGTCAAGTGTCCACATGCTTTAGGCCATGTAGTGAACATATACATCAGGAAGTATTTTGAGGGACAGGTACAGCCTTTTGGCATGATCTTTATCAGTTTCATATAATCTTCAGTGTTTCTTCGTGGCTCTTTGTGATGAACACTTGTTTCCTTTGGCCTCAGTGTGAGAACGTGTATGACAGGTTGTATTCAGAGACAATGCTTTTACCACACTTTCTTTGTCTTTCTCCCACTCACAGGCAATACTTGATGAGGAACCCCTGTCCCACATTGCCTTTCCACCACCAGGTGCCGCCACCACACTCGGACTCTGTGGAGTTCTACCAGAGGCTGTCCACGGAGACCCTCTTCTTCATCTTCTATTACCTAGAGGTATGTGTGCCCATGTCCTTCTGAAGTTGCTACTTTAGACATACCGGGCGAATAAGTTACGCATTGTTTGGTAACCAGTATGTCTCCTTTCCTGACCTTAGGGCACAAAGGCCCAGTATCTGGCAGCCAAAGCCTTGAAAAAACAGTCATGGAGGTTCCATACAAAGTATATGATGTGGTTCCAGAGGCACGAAGAGCCTAAGACCATCACTGACGAGTTTGAGCAGGTGAGACCCAGTGCTTTATAAAGTGTGTAAACTAGAAGTAGGGCTGTCATTGTCAGTTAGGTTAGTATTCAAGTAATTAATTGTTTTCATGATTAATTGACTAATCTAGTGAAGAGAAACGAATGTGAATCAACAGTAACAAACCATATATGTAAAAGTCAAAATAAATTGTGTCAAAACTAAGCATTGGCAATTCATTGAGAAGGTAAATTTCATTCACTCATTTAAGCACTTGCTGTTTCTGCTGTTTATTCAGCTTTTATCTTTTAATCACTTGTTGTTTCGATCAGTGTGTGAAATACTCTGTGGTATTCAGGCGTCACATGTTGACTGGCTACTCTAGCTGGCTGCTAACTCACTCGCCATAGCTGATGCTTCACTGGCAACAAAATGTTTGGTTTAACAGTTCATCTTTTGGAAATGTTCTTTTCTAGTTTGGTAATGTGGTCTTCTATACTTTAATTGAGATCTTCTATACTTTAACTGAGATCTTAGAGTTTATTTTTACACATCTCTTGTCTTCGGTTTGAGAAATGACTAACAATTCTCTCTTTCCACCAAACTCTTGGGAAATTGGGCAAGTTTTTAGATTGACAAATATGCCACAGCATATTGCAAAGTTTTTTTAAAAGGTATTCCAGGCATAGTTACAGCTGCTAGGTTATACCAATTTAATTGATTTTGAGACATTCAGGGGTCCAAGAGGCTAATTAGGACCTTGGGACTTTAATGAGTGCCTTTGTCTCAGTGCAGTTTTTGCATTTATCTAAAAGACATAATCAAACAAGACCAAAATGTTGTTGATTTTTGTTTAGTTTGTGCCGTACTGTGATCACTCAGTTCAGTTGAGTAATTGTGTCATCCTTGTATCATAGTATAAAGAATTACTGGCAGGCAGGTCTCTGACAATTTTTATAATAAAACATAGATAAAACTTGAAATTAATTTCATTTTTAGAGAATTTTCCCTTTTTCTCCTAACTACAAGGATACTAAATTCCGCAAAGGAATTTTATGACTTAGTGTACATTTTCAGTGCTGGCTCAGAATTCTGTACAAAACTTGCACACCAAGCTGTGTGGCTGAAATCAGAAGTAGAAGCTTGTTAAAGCTGCACTATGTAATATGTTTTGTTAAAACTAGTAGCGTTACTGATTCTGTAGAAGAAGAAAAAAAAACATGCTAAAATATGTTGCCCATGTGCTGCTGTGAGTCATCCTGTAAGACCTGACACAGTAAATTAAAAATCAGAGGAGTCTAGTCAGATTTTGCAAGAGTTTTTTTAGTGAAGTAATCCATATACGTCACAAAAATTAACAAAAAATGACTCCCAGGGCAGAAAAAGGCACTCCATCTTTGAAAACAAAGAATAAAAGGCTTTTAATACCATAGTTGATGCATTGTGGGTTGCTCAGGCCTTCATTAAGGGCACAACATGAATGTAAATGTGTATTTTGTCTCCAAGATAACTATTACAAAATGGAAGGAAAATATCTGCCCCTTTACATTTGCACATTGGGATGTGTGTAATGCTGATACTGGCTTGGGTCTATGTATAGTCTGTGTAACTAGCAAAATCAGCAAGCAAATAATGAAGCCTGGGCTTGGAGTTGCATCAGTCACTGCTGTAGGATAGAAACGATGTACATTTCTAATCAAATGTTCAGACACACTTTATTGAATGTATGTTTTTTGTAATCTTAAAGATGTTTTTATCTGCAAGTTTATGCTTAAATGCTTGAAAATGTTACCCTTATCAAATATAAAGTGCAGAATGTGTTTGAAATTATTTGTTGCAGTTTTCAGCAGGCAGCAAGGTCTCAGCATGTGTATCTTTTGAAGTCCTTCTAGAATAGCATCCCAAGTGTGTCCTCATGAATCTGTTGAAGGCAAAAACTACATATAAGAATCTAAAATTTAAGATAATGTAATTTTTTATGGTCACTGCTAGATTTTGCAAATTTTGCAATTTGTTTTGACCGGTAACTGAGTCATTAGTTGGTCATTAATTGTTAACCGGCAAGCCTAAAATCAAGGCAGTGACCCATTTAAATATCAGTTGTAAAACTGATTCCAAGTTCTCAAATCTAACCGACTGAGCCAGGTTCGAAGCCACTGTAAAATATGTGATATACGCACACTTATGATTGGCAGTCAGCTGAATTCTGTTTCAATGCATGGAGATCTTAAAGTTTTCTCTTTATGGATCATGTAACGTAGTGGGGCCAGGCATCAGCCTGTATATTCAGTAACGGGATTGAAACTGTATTTGTTGAAACATACCCTACATAAGAACCTGTTTTGTTTAAGCTGAGCAGCTGACAGCTATATGGTCATGATTATATGACCAAAAGCTGTTGACAAAATGACAAGAATATAGAATGTTCAGCAGCTTCTCATCGTGTATTCCAAAGTTCTGAAGTCACGTTTACCCTCATTACTAGCCAAAATTAAAACATGCATAGACACCATGGCTGGGACACCAGCTTTGGCTCAGTGTATTTTAGTAGCTTTCGAAAGCTGTCGGCAACCACCACATCCTTCTCTGATTGACTTCTTCACACTATCATGCATCACACTTTCTCACACTTCGGCTTATCACTTGCGAATGTTTGCTTTCAATGTGATACATTGTAGTAGCACTTCAGAAGTGATTCCTTATTTATTTATATTTATTTTTAAAGAGTTGTCTAGTGGAACCAATTGCCTATTGTACCCTCATGCCTGTGATTAACTGTTCCTCAGCTTGAATGTTAACCTTGCTCATTCAAATAGGAGCTGTTCTTTATTAGAAATGAAATAAAATTAACCTAATTTTTTTTGTAACAGTTAGCATCAATTGAGCAATTCCCTATCCCCAGCCACTGCATAATTTAATATGAATTTAATGTCACTTTGATACTAAAATGAGTAGAATTGGATGAACCAATATTTTGTCAATGAAAACATCACATAGAAGACAATTTGTCTGCAGCAGCTACATTAACCATGTAGCTGAAAACTGAATTTTGATGGCTGGTATTTGTAAAAGAACACATGTATAGGCACCTCAGAGTGTATTTCCTCTCATTTGTTATCAATCATGTAGCATACAGATACTGCCTTCTCAGACAGCTAAGTACTTACGTAACGTACACCGAGATATTTCTTGCTGAATTAAGTGGCCGTTGGTTTTGGACATTTCAGGCAAAACTTTGGACTTTTTGGCAAAGTTGGAGTTTCAGAAGACAGATTGGAAAGAAGTCTTACAGCTGTCTGAGGCCAAGCGCAAATCAAGGTTCAAAAGTTCAAGTCCAAAGACAGGGAAAAAAGATTTCTATGAAGGTCATCTGATGTTAACTTGCTGGAGCAAAACACCATCTGTCACTGATCTTGGAGTCGCATCATTAGTATATATGTGATGTCAGTGACTGATTCATTTGTATGTTTGTTAAATACAAAGAGGAGTTGGCCTTGTATTCAGAGATGTCCTTTACCTTAACACAGTTTCATGTCCATAGCTCTAGAGCAACGTCATAGAAATCAAGGGCAACCACTGAAGCATGAAAATAAAGCCCTGAAGCCCATCATTTTAACCTTTTAACTAAACAGCATATGATGCACTTTCCTTGTTCCTGAAATGGTACACAAGCCTAATATTCTCAAGTTTATACAAACCTTCCACTGCAGTAACTGGTTTGTTTTAATAGTGATGCTTTTTTGTTTTCTAAGATGTTCTACGTTTTTTTATTTAGTATATTAACTAAACTATATTATATTAACTATATAATAAACTATACTATACTTAATGAATACTTATGATGCCCATTACGGATCACAGTATTTTGACAGAGATGATGCACGTTTAAAAATATGCCATCAAAACCCTGAGCATTGATTTTTATTTAACGTTTCACATACAGCATTGCACTAAATCAGTTTAAACAGGACTAAATATGTTCGCTAAGCCTACAGTGTAAAGTGAAACTAACTGATCTTTAAAAAGGACCAGGTAACCATCTCAGGTTTCAGTGTATACAGTGTATTGTGTCTGTAGAGGTTTGTCTTATACAATGATGTGTGTAAAACAATGTAGTAATTGGGTATTTTTTTAAATACATCATTAACAGTTTGGTTAAATGATAAGTGTGGAAACCTAGAGATGCGCCGGCACTACTTTTTCCCTCCCTATCTATACCGATACTAACTCTATCTAAACTAACTCGCATGTAAGTCCAGATATTTATACAGTTATATTTTTTAAATATTTTATTTTGGTCAAATTAATGTTCTGCATTACAAATAAAACACACTCAGCTTGTCTAGATGGCATTTACTTGTTGGATTATATTTATTATATGCTTAAGAAAACATTTGTTTATTTACTGTATCTATTTAGTATTTACAATTATATAATTAGAAATCAGGACCATGTTTGACAACTTATGTAAAATATTGTTATTGTGAACAGTTAAAAACAGAACTGAACAGTATACAGATAAACCTTTGGTGTCTACACATCAGCACACAGCAGCTTCTCTGGCTCAAAAGCTGAGCTGAAAGTTGTTTCACATCCAAATATCTCAGGTCATTTGCCTCATACGTGCGTCTTGTTCCCTCACACTGCATCTCTGAGCGTCAGTTCAGTAAATATCATGGACATTCATGTCAGCGACTTGCAGTGTTTTTTCTGGTTTAGTTGAAACAACTAGGGCCGCGAGACCCCACTGCTGAATGATACAGCTGACCGACGGAGGCGCACCACAGGCGGGGCTAGTGGGCTGCTATGATAAAGGCTAAATCAAGGCTAAATGCTATCATTAGCGGTTCCTTCAGCTCTCTCAGTAGTATTAACTCAGTCTGTAAGTGAGCACTCGAGTAGGTAAGTAGTCAGTGAGCAGACGAGTGGTTACTAATAGAAGCAGCTCATCCGTTCAGATTGTGTTGGCTCCGTTAGTGTGTTTTTCTCACTAGATGCTTTTGTTACAGATACTGCCATTAACATTTTTACTGCTTCATGTCAGCCCACGTGTTGTTAAGTTCTGTCTACTGGCGCGCACATGCGCGTCAGAAATTGCTTTGTGGTATCGGTCACTGATGCCGATACTGCGTTTAAGTGGCAATATCGGTACCGATACCATTACACTATCGGTATTGGTGCAACACTATTGTTTTTGTTTTGTTTTCATCTGTGGTGGGTAGTATCACTTCCTTTTTTCATGTAACTTGCAATGGAATGAATCTAGAACTGCGCAGAATAACCTTACAACAGTCAGTTGTTGGCAAATTCTGTATTAATACTTTTTCTTTCTTGTGCCTTAGGGGACCTACATTTACTTTGACTATGAGAAATGGGGCCAGAGGAAAAAGGAAGGATTCACGTTTGAGTACAGGTACCTCGAGGACCGGGACCTCCAGTGACAGACGGACAATACGAACTGCAGACTACTGTCGACATTCCTGGACTGAATCCACACTCTCACACACGCTGGTGGGGTGACTCAGATGCTTTTGCGAGGCTGTTTTCTGTCTCGTTGGTGCATATTGCCTTCAGAGCTTTTCCCACTACCTACAAACTCCACTTGCCCAATACAAACCCAGTCCTTCTTTTTGAAATGTCCACTCTCTCACCTTTTAATTTGAACACTCATTGCTCGTCACTTTGTTTTGGCACCTATACATTGAAAAAGACATCACCGTACATTCTTGAGCCAAAGAGAAATAAGCCTACAAAATGTAGTCCAACGAAGCAAACACCAGACAAAACAGTAAGATAGCGTTACTGATAGCATTATTAGGGACATGCTGTGTACAAGTCGTTGAAAAATATCAGAGTTTTAGCACAACAAAATAATGAGTTGTGGGAGACCAAATCCAACCCATTTACTTGTACCTGCTATTGTTTTGAAGCTGGGTGAACTGGACTGGCCTGTCTTTGATTATTACCATCAACAGTGACAACAGTGCCATTTTCTCCCATTACTGTAACATACTCTCGAGCATTTTTAACAAAATGAGTTTTTAAAAAATATGTTGACTAGAATCTCATATCACATACTTATGTTCGAGAGCAGTCACAGTCCCACTGTAATTGTTAATATCTGCTCGACAGATGATGGTACTGTCCTCCTTAGTGTAGAACGAGTGAGATGGAACAGAAAGGAACCACACCAGCACTAAAAACTTTCTCTTAGGTTTGTTTACATTTGTCAGAAGCAGTAAAGAGCAGCTCACTCAAATTGGACATGTAATTAATCAGAAGGGCAGAGAAAAAGGTAGTACAGCTGTAATTATTCTGAATTACACTTCCATGATAGTGTGTGAGGACCGTGTAAAGCCATTATTTCGGCTTACAAAGGGAATACATATTTTGAGCATCAGTGGGCGTCCTCTGGTCAGTATGGGTACAATTGGTGCTCTCGCCAGGACATTAAGCAAATAGACAGGTTGTCCAATGCTAAATACTGAATTGATTCCTTCAAGGCCCCACTACATTCACCTTATCTGCCAGCAATTCATTTAATTTCACAAAGCATCTCAACTGTGACATTTCCCAGTGTTTGGAGTGCCATCTCAAATGTTTTATCTTTTTATTCATGCAGACTATCAGGACAGCGTAGATATCTGGAAATTATGAATTTCTTTTAAATCCGCTGAGATGTGGTGTCTTCATACCCAGATGACAAGTGGCCATGCACCTGTGTAGGTTTTTTTTTCTGTTACGTTTACCTTTTGTGGCGAGCGTACTGTATGGAAGAGAACTGAAATGTGAATTATATTTTTTTTTCCTAACTGGAAAAAGTGATGTACAGAACATTCTTCCACCTCCTGTCTTTTTTCCCCCCATTTTGAACTGAACAGCATGGAAAATGACACTTGCAGAGTGGACTGGAGTTAAAAAAACATTACACACAAAGTTACAATGAAAATAAAGGATTGTAAAATATTAATAAAGAAATTACTTTTCAAAAAAAAATGTTTCTAGATTTTCTTTGGTATTGTATAAAGAAAGTGGACAAACTATGGCTGCGTTTTGAATTTTCTCTTTATAGTTTAAATTCCAAACGTAAGAGTGATCCTTAAAGGGTCTTTCAAAACGCGGCCATAGTTTGTCCACTTTCTTTATACGATTGATTTGTATAAAGAATTGATGATTTCTGTTCAGTTAAAAAACAAACAAAAAAAATGAACAAAAAATGAATAAACTTAAATCTCTAGTTTGGTATGTTATTCTGTACTCACAAATTCCAAAAAGACAGCATGCTGTTTCAGCCAAAAAAAAAAAAATGTTCCATTTTAGTTTTGCATTGTTGGAGCAAGGCTAATACAGCTAACAAGTAATGGCAGCTTTGAACTGCCCTACTAAAACATCTCAAAATTGGCTCAGTGCTGAGTTTTAAGGTTTATAAAATAGACTTGCTTAAGAGATTTATGGCTCACTGTTAAATGTAAAAATAGACACGTGCCATATAGCTACAAACTGTAGGAGCATCTATAATGCAGCGTGCATTCCGTCTGTTCTTTTGGCCATTTTAATAGAGAACTATGTTATACTATGTCCAAAAAGTCTGTTTCACCATGATAGTAGATTTTTCACTTTGTTTATGGCTGTTTAGAGTACAGAAAAACATGAAATTATTAATATATTACAGCCCTCAAGTGTGAGACCTGAGCCCATATTCCTAAAGCCTCTCAGTGCTAAACTATGATCTGCACCTAACAGTAAGGTCTTTGTAAATAGAGAGGAATCTGATCCTAGATCAGCACATTTATTCTGAGAAGCCTTATGAATACGAGCACAGAGCCTCATCCCAGTTAAGAACACAAAAGCCTCCTTCACGTCCTCTAGCCACTTGGTAAAAGCTGGGGTTTGGGCTTAACAATTGTGTGTCTGTGTCTTTATTATGCTACTGTTTCTTATTCCTTACACTTCCTTTCAATTTTCAGTGGTAGCAGATTTTTATAGCACTTTAACATTCTGGAGATGTTACTTTTGTCAACATAGATTAATCAAATGGAGAAAGGTTGGGGAAGTGAGTCATTATAAGCCATATATTATATGCTTATATGCTTTTTCTGGATGAAACCTGTGTTTAAATAATGCAATGCAAATAATTTCCATTAATAATGATTAAAATAAATGTATATAGTGCTTTTCTCATAAAGTTCTCAGAACTATTTGTGTGGTTGACAGAAGGGCAAAGCAAAACCCCCATATGACAGCAAAACCTGCAGGACGGTTTAGCTAACACATGCAGTGGTGCATTGTTCTACTGTGTAGTGTTGCTTGTACAAACATGATCTGCATGGAAGAGTCATCAGAAGGAAGCTTATCACAAAATTGAATGTTTGTATATAAGAAGCATGCTAAGTACGCTACAGGAATTTTGGAAGTAAGTGCTGTGGTCTGATGAAGCAAAAATGGAACTCTTTGGCTTCAATTGCCAATTTGAAAATTTTATGATAATTTAATGGTTAAGAGGTAAACAAAGCCATTCAGAGTGGTTTGATGTGAAATGCTTTGTTCTAGAGAAACTTACAAGTCAGAATTGGTCAGAGTGTTGGTGATAGGAACCAGACATCTTAAGTGTTTAATGCATACATAAAGTGTTCATGAATACACAGCCTGATGTCTGAGACATTGATCTATGGTAGTTTTATGATAAAGTTTGGCCTCAAACAAATTTTAATCAATTCATGGTGAAGGAATACATGAAGGGTGTTCAAAGGCAACTGAAGTCCCCAAAGAGATCTTATTTTTCAGGATGATCACTTCTTTACCATCATCATCATTACACACAAAAAATTCAGAAGATAGGTGTAGGTACAATGGAGGTTTTGAGTAGTAAATAAACTGGCTATATTTGTGTTGTAGACATGGCAACCCCTGGTTCCTATCACCACCACTGTAAAGAAATCAGAGTCTATAAGAATCTCCACAAATGAAGCAAACCACTCTGAATGACCTTGTTTGTATCTCAACCACCTAATTATTGCAGACATTTTGAGAGATCAGTGTAACTTTTCTTTAAGCATGGGGTTGATCTAGGGCACAGGAAACATTGCATGGGTAGATGGAGGAACTCTTCTAAATATGAACAAATTCTGGAAGCAAATGTGACAGTTAAAAAAAACTGAAGCTGAAAAGATCCTGGCTTCTACAACAGGACAATGATCCAAAACACACCACAAAATCCACAATATAGTACTTCAAAAAAAGAAAATGAAGCTTTTGGAATGTCTCTCACAGTCCCCTGACTTGAACATAATAGAAAATGCAATACGGCCCAAGAATATCATAAAACTAAAAGCATTCTGCAAAGTAGTGTTGGTGCAAATTCTTAAAACAAGAACAGAAAGATTTCTAGCTGGCTACAGTAGTAGGGTGTCCACATGTTTGGCCATGATTAATACGTTATTAGTTTTATTTCTTTAAAAAAATAAAATGTGAAGTAACTGAGCATTAAAAAATGTCATTTGGCCAGGGTTTGTATTTACATAGTAACAGGAAGAATTATAGTCAAACATAATAGGGCACAAGGAAATGAGGGAACAAAATCTACAATACATAATTATAACAGGAAAGGATGCTCCTCAGAAAATGTCAATGTTGCATACGCATGATATTAAAGGGTAGGGGAAGGTTGGTAGGTTTAGTACTTACGTAAGTATCATCAGTTTAACAGTGAAAATTAACACCATAGGGGCGGATGATTTGACCAAGGGGCTACATGTAAATTATAAAAAGTAGAGGGCCAAGCATTGAACCATGGGGAACACCTTGCAAACAGCATCAACAGCTGATCTGTGCTGTCTTATGGCAACAAAATGATCTCTTAGTAATACAAAAGTTCAACCTGGCTAATAACGCCAACAGCAGAGAGATGAGAGAAGAGCACATCATAGTTTACTGTATGAAACACAGCGCTTAAATCTAAAGTAGAAAATTACTCACTTCACTAGAGTTACTAGCAATAAGATCATCAATTAGAAGGTGATGCACTGAAGGATGCACTGAAAAGCTAATGCACATAGAAGCATCATCAATATGAAGCACCTACTAAACCATCTTTAGTAAAAAAAAAATAAAAAATTATCATTCTGGGACATTCATAAATGAGACAATTAGGGTCTCTGATTTTTTTGCCTGAATCTTTGTTTTGCATTTTTCTGTGAATGTGTGTGTCATACCCATAATTCCATGTGTTCATGTCTGTGTGTTTGTGACGCATTTTGTCCAGGCCAACAGCTGCAGGACTGTTTGACTCATCTGCTCGGTGTGTGTATGTGAGCATGTGTGCTAGCTCAGAGGACTTCTGGCAGGTTCACCATCGAGAAGCTCCCACAGCGACAGGACTGACCTCACCAGTGCCGCCAGAAATGCAGAAGAATTTCTTTCTCTCACACACACAAACCCACCATATCTCCCTGACAGTCTCTCCCTAATATGTCCCTGCAAACTGGACTGCTCATGCCCTGTGTCTTCAAACAGCAGTGTGACATTAGAGTAGAATGCTGTCTCCTACCACCCTTTCTCCTCGTTCCCCCAGAAGTGACAGACAGCCCAGGCTCTTGTAGACTCCACACTGCCCCTAACTCTACAGCTCTGTCATGGAGCCATCCTTTCGCCCTGAGCTGTGACACATTCAGACCTTTCACTAGGGCCAGTATCATGCATACAAAAACAAACCAACAAAAAATTGCCTCACCCATTTCTCATTCTTGGACACCTTAGCTCAGAACACAGACTTGTGCTAGAATCTGGAAGATCTGGCAGGGCCCACGATCAACAACAGGCTGAATAAGTGGTGAGTAGTCTTGGCAGCTGACAAATTGTTCTCTACTGAATCCCTAAAAGGCCATGGATTCTCTTTTTTTAACTGTTTTCCATAATAACAAGTTATTTTCATTTGTTATTTATCTTGTCACGACACAACAAATGTTATCATGACATAACAAATGCTATTTCTATAAAAATTGGGCTTCAATCACCAATATCTTCTTGAGTTTTTTCTTAAATTTGTAAGGTCCTAATAAAAAGTCTACATCAGATTCATGATGTGTTCTTAAACCGCAGAATTGTTTGCACCTTTATGCTCTTGAGTGTGTGTAGATTCTGTTCTTACCTAAGAACAAATCCCAAAGAAGAAAATATTAATGAATGTTAGGATCTTCTTAAAAGCTGCCTAAGTGGGTTATGAGAAAAAAAATTCTTCTTAAGAACAATTGGTAAATGAGGCCCCATATTCTTTATTTAGTGATGATATGAATAACTTGAGCACTGTCGCCTCACAGCAAGAAGGGCCTGGGTTCGATTCCCAGCCGGGCGACCAGGGTCCTTTCTGTGTGGAGTTTGCATGTTCTCCCCGAGTCTGCGTGGATTTCCTCCGGGTACTCCGGTTTCCTCCCATGGTCCAAAGACATGCAGTCAGGCCAACTGGACATGCTAAATTGCCCCTAGGTGTGAGTGTGTGTGTGAGTGTGTATGTCTGTCTGTCTGCCCTGCGATAGACTGGCGACCTGTCCAGGGTGTATCGTGCCTTCCGCCCGATGACAGCTGGGATGGGCTCCAGCACCCCACCGCGACCCAGAAGGATAAGCGGTTTAGATGATGTATGTATGTATGAATAACTTGAGATCTCGAGAAAACATTGTTTTGACTTGATAATGATATAAATATCACAAGATCTAAAGAAAACAAATGTAAATAACCCGTTATCACAAAAAATGGTGTTAAAAAATATCCATGGCCCTTTAAGGCATCTGTAATTCTGTTAACATTTAATTATTACTCTTGGCTCGATATTGGAATTCCAGCCAATAATAATAGTAACCAATAATTTATGGCCCTGTTTTTAGCTTGCACACACTACAAAAGTGCTCATGTGTAGTCATGAGCACTGACTATTTTCCCTTTTTTGTAACACAGCACCTCACA